TGTGTGTGTGTGTGTGTGTGTTGAAGGAGAGGCATCTTATTATTTTTTTTTTCCATTTATTTTTATTAGTTGGAGGCTAATTACTTTACATCATTGCAGTGGTTTTTGTCATACATTGAAATGAATTAGCCATGGATTTACATGTATTCCCCATCCTGATCCCCCCTCCCACCTCCCTCTCCACCCGATCCCTCTGGGTCTTTCCAGTGCACCAGGCCCGAGCACTTGTCTCATGCACCCAACCTAGGCTGGTGATCTGTTTCACCCTAGATAGTATACATGTTTCGATGCTGTTCTCTTGAAACATTCCCACCCTCGCCTTCTCCCAGAGTCCACAAGTCTGTTCTATACATCTGAGTCTCTTTTTCTGTTTTGCATATAGAGTTATCGTTGCCATCTTTCTAAATTCCATATATATGTGTTAGTATACTGTAATGGTCTTTATCTTTCTGGCTTACTTCGCTCTGTATAATGGGAAGGAGAGGCATCTTAGAGGTCAGTTCTGAAAATTCTTGTCATGATCTGGGACAGGTGAATAACCTTTCTGAACCTCAGCTTCCTCATGTGCAAAATAGGGATCCTAACAGCACCTGCGGCAGCACAATGGACAGGGTATATTTAGGGCCCTACTTAGCTCTTAATAAGAGCTCTATAAATGTTTGTTTGTTTGGTTGTTCTGTTTATTCTATTATTAATTTGCCATTCATCCTGTTTCCCCTGGGACAAAAACTCTCTCTCCTCTCTTTGTCAGAACTCAGCTCATAGCCCCTCACCTAGTAAGGTTGGATCCTTCACTCCCACCCCTCATACCTCTCTTCACTCTACTGGCAAGGAGAAAGGGAGTTTGCATTTATGGAGTACCTACCATGTGTGGGCTTCCTGTGTGGCTCAGCAGTTAAAGAATCTGCCTGGAATGCAGGAGACGCAACAGAATCGAGTTCAATCCCTGGGTTGGGAAGAGCCCCTGGAGGAAGGCATGGCAACCCACTTCAGTATTCTTGCTTGGAGAATCCCATGGACAGAGGAGCCTGGTGGGCTACAGTCCATGAGGTTGGAAAGAGCAGGAGATGATTGAAGCGACTAAGTACACACACACATACAATGTGTGAGGAATTTATACTGCATTATTTCATCTAACCCCCAGGGCATTCTTCTGAGGTCAGAATTACTGTGTCCATTTACTTGATTAGGAAGGTGAACTCAGAGTGAACCAATGGCTTATTTAAGATCAGGCGCGGGGGCTTCCCTGGTGGCTCAGTGGTAAAGAATCTGTCTGCTAATGCAGGAGATACGGGTTTGATCTCTGGTCGGGGAAGATCCCACATGCCGTGGGGCAACTAAGCCTGTGCGCCACAACTGTTGAATCTGTGCTCTAGAGCCTGAGAGCCACAACTACTGAGCTTACTTGCTGCAACTAGAGAGTAGCCCCCGCTCTCCACAATTAGAGAAAGTCCCTCGCAGCAACAAGGACCCAGCACAGCCAGAAACAAATGAAAATAATGATTAAAAAAACAAGGTAAAGCACAGAAGGGTCCATCAAGGGGTAAAGTCAGAATCTGGAAGGAGGCTCCCAGCCCTCCGCCAAGACTCAAGGGTCTGAGTCTTCAGGACTGAATGAGAATTAAGTCCTCATGGAGGCAGGAGCCCAGACTGCTAGGTTTTGGGGTCTTAGAGAAATCAGGCTGTTCCAAAGCCTTCTCCTCAACTGATGCTTGCTCATGGCCACCAACCCTAGAAGGCTACAAGCCATCGTAATAGTAGTTAATTATGTGTCCAATTATGGACAGAGGAAACCAGAGTGTGAACTCAGCAGCTAGGATTAAAGAGAAACACGCAAATCATCTTTAGCTTCCTTTGCTTTTAAATATGACTTGTTATTATGCAAGGGGGTAATTAAATCCTGGAATACCAGAGGTCACCCTGGCCAACCATGCCTGGCTTTGGCTGCCTGGTGTCCCATTTCTAGGGAGTGCCTCACTGCCCCCTTTGCTGTCTTTCCCAATTCTCTTGTGGACCTGAATCCCTTTGGTCCAGCTTTGATTTTGCAGGGGTTTCAGTGTAACCTTCGTGCCATCCTCTGTAGAAGACGGAGCCCACCTCCAGTGTCTGCGCTTCTGCTCCCAGCTCCAGCTCTGTGACTAATGGTTTCAGGATTATGAATTTCTACTCCAGTTTTCTTTCTTCTTTAAAAAATTATTTATTTTTGGCTCTGCTGTGTCTTCGTCACTGTGCGGATTTTTGTCTAGTTGTGGAGAGATGGGGCTACTCTCGAGCTGTAGCAAGTGGACTCAGTAGTTTGTGACACATGGGCTTAGTTGCTCTGCATGTGGGATATTTCCAGACCAGGGACTGAACCTGTGCATTGGCAGATGGATTCTTTACCACTGAGCCACCTGGGAAGCCCTCTACTCCAATTTTTTTTAGGGAATAAATTGGTATTGAAGAAGTTTTCGCTTGGTATCTCCCTCACAAGAGGAAATGGACTTACCCCAAAGTATTTAATTTCCTTAATTTAAAGATTTAAATTAGACTTACAGAAGCACTTTCATGATGCTTGCTTGGATCGCCTTCTGCATTTTGGTGGATGGATGGAGCAGATTTTCTGTGCTATCACAATCAGTGAGGAGGTTGATAATCAGCTTTTGTTCACACTGATAATTAAGTGCATTTAAAGTTCCAAGAGACCAGAGGGCTGCAAGCGGAGTTGTGCTCTCTAACATAACCAGAAGGATGGAAATGACAGGTTAGACGACTAAAGCACAGTGGTCCCCCAAGTGTCAGTACCAATTCCTGACCCAGCTCCAATGTCAGATACATTCAAGGACACACTTCCCCATAAAGAGGGTTGGTGGTCAGAGTGATGAGGAGGAGGGAGGCTGCTCCATTTTAGCCAAATCTTCTAGAAATTGTTCCCTTGCCCCCTTTATCTCCAACCCACCAGTCAACTGATGGAAAGCTAGCTCTTTATCTTGGTGTCGTGTCTCTCTATCTTGGTGTTGTGTCTCTACCCCCACCATAGGCCCCGGGAGCCGATTCAAGGCAGGGAGCAAATAGGTACCCAACAGGAGCCAGGCTCAGAGTTGGAAGGAGTCTGCAGTCCCCACGCTGGGCAGGCACACACAAAGGACTTTAATATAAGGCTGCAGGGGGTCTGGCTTTAATGCCAGGGTACTCGGTGGGAGAGTCAGCATCCAGGGCCTTGGGGCCAGAGGTCAGGGCATGGTCTTGCAGGAAATGACAGCTTGGTTGGGGATGAAGAACACTGAAGAGCTGGATGTACAGAGAAGAGAAATGGGAGGAGGGTTCAGGCAGAGGGAACCGTGTAAGCAAAGACACAAAGCAAGGGAGGCCAGAGGATGTGGGAGGAACAGCTGGCAGCGAGTCCACTTTGGTTGGAAAACAGGGGATGGATGTGGTTAGGGGGAAAGGAGGCAGGGGAATGGTGAATATGGTGGGTGGGTAAGATGGGCTTAGACTGTCAAGCTGAGTGTGAGAGGTAGTTGACCGGGAGAAGGCCATATTTACCATGTGTAAGCAAATGGGATGTGGGGATGGTACATGGAGGGGGTGTGTGTGCCTACTTTTGGTAACCCACGGCATCCTTATGAAACATCTTGAGCATCAGCATGCCCATTTCAGAGACACACTTCTTTTTTCTCCATGGAATAACGGTCAAAATGTTTCTGGAATCAGACATACCTGGGTTCAAGCCTGGGCTCTGCACCTTGCAATCTGGGTGAAAATTCCATAACTTCTCTGAGCCTTAGTTTCCTTTGTATCTAGAATGAAGATAACAAAACTTATCTGGGGATGTGATATGGATAAAGTGAGTGTATATGTAAAGCATTAATACAATGCCTGGTGCATAGTAAGTGGTCAATAAAAATCAGCTGTTATTATTGTTGTTATCATTTCCCCTCTATGGCTCATTGGTTGCCTCAGGTACCTTCCCTTCCAACCATCCCGGCCTCCCCACTCCCCTCACCCCCACCCTGGGCATGCCTTGTCTTCCAGGTCTGGGAGCTGGGGCCTCCTGCCCATTGAAGTTTCTTGGAATGGATCCCAGGTCCCACCACTCAGTCCAGGCTCAGAGTTTATTGGAGAAGCTTTTCTGAAAATGCCCCAGAAAACAGGGAGGCCTTTGAAAGAGACTGTCTGGGGGAGTGTGGCCTTGTACTTAAGGTCTAGTTGAGGGAGACACTCTGTTAGGTATGGGTGAGGAATCTTGAAGGCCCACAAAGAGGAATGGAGGTGGGTGGACAGAGGGGGTTTTAGGGATTCAGATACTGAACTCTCACACCACACTGCTCACACACATCTACCCACTTCATGGATCCCCCAGCATGAAGTGGCTGAACAAATACTTTTTTTGGTTATGTGATTGGCTTTTCCATATCTTGGTGGGAGTAAACACAATCTCCTTCTGGCCATGCCAAGGGTTAGGTGTCATAGGTTGCCCTGAAGAGTTGGCCCCCAAGACCCTACCTGTGAAGCCCCTGGAAGGCTCTTGCTCTCAAAGCTGCCAAGGTCCACCCCAATCTTCCCATCCCAGGCAGGCCCACCCTTTGTCCTTTGTCTTAGTGCATCTTGTGACCCAAACTAAAAGTCGGAGGTTATGAGTCCAGCTGACCTGAAAACCATCATCCCAACCCGGCTTCCCTTCCTCTCCTCAATTATCTCGCAAAATGCAGAGTCCCCAGACCTTGGTTGACCTAGGCTCCTTGGCACCCTCAGGCCTTGAACTATGGAAAAAATTCTGCCAAGGCTTCAGAGTTGCCTGAGTGTAGGATTTTCCAAAGCCCCATCTTGATGATATTATCCCAGGAGAGGAGAAATGACTGAGAAATTCCCCAAGCCCATAAAGGTGACAAGAAGGTTACTCCACGTGGCGACGCAGACAGTGCCAGGTGTCTGGGTTTATAAAAGGCACAGACAGTGAGGGAGAGCTCAGAACACTTCTCCTCTTCCTCTGGCTTCATCTCCTCCTGCCTTGAGCCACTATGACCTGTGGATCAGCTTGCTTTAGCTCCCGTAGTGGAGTCCACAATTCCAGCTCCTGTGTGACCACTCAAAGGTACGGTTCTGGTCGCACCTTCAGCTGCACCTCGGCCTGCGGGCCCAGGCCCAGCCGCTGCTGCATCACGGCTGCTCCTTACCGCGGCATCTCCTGCTACCGCGGTCTCACTGGGGGCTTCAGCAGTCGCAGTGTCTGTGGGGGCTTCCGTGCTGGTTCCGGCAGCCGCAGCTTTGGGTATCGCTCTGGCGGCCCCAGCCCTCCCTGCATCACCTCTGTGTCAGTCAACCAGAGCCTCCTCACGCCCCTCAACCTGGAGATCGACCCCAATACACAGCGCATAAAGCACCAGGAGAAGGAGCAGATCAAGAGCCTCAACAGCAAGTTTGCTGCCTTCATTGACAAGGTGGGTGTCCTTGATTACACCTTTCCTGAACCTTCTTTCCTGGGTAGGCACTGAAGGGTTAGTCAGGGGGCAGGAGAGATGTGGACCAGATGAACCCCGGGTCTGATGGAGGAGATGGACACACTTCCAGGGCACAGACAGACCAGAGAGATGTGAGCATAATGCAGGGACTCCTGGCACTGTTATAATGTACAAGAGAGACAAGAATGGGCTTGGAACTGCATGTCAGAGGGAGGCGACACAGACCCCCGTCCCCCACGGGACACATATGAAATTTACATCAGAAATAGAAACAGAAGAAAAAAAGAAATAGAAATAGGACTAGAGGGTCATCTTTGGGGATAATGCTGCCTGGAATGCTTAGTTGTCCCCCGCCCCCACTCTCTCTCTGCATCCCCCTCTGACACTCACTCACTCATACACTCTCACATTGAAACCTGGGGCCAGCTGAGGCTTCCCCTTTAATGTTCACTTCAGACAAGAATGGGCCAGCAGGAGACCTAACTGGGGAAGGTTTCCCAGGGGAAAGCTTGGTCATTTGGGAGGGGATTCTGATCCCTGGCACAGTGAAGCCAGGCATGAGAAAGGACTTTTCCACTTGATCATGGGTATGTGGACTCAGATCTGCAGCCATCTCAGTGACAGAGATCCTCATGTGTGTGTTGGGGTGGGATGGGGGAAAGGAATTGGCAGAAGTTTTGGGGGGTGGATCCTGCAGGATGCTGGGATTATGGCTATCTGGGTGACTATTCCTCTGGGTGGCAGGTGCGCTTCCTGGAGCAGCAGAACAAGCTGCTGGAGACCAAGTGGCAGTTCTACCAGAACCAGCGCTGCTGCGAGAGCAACCTGGAGCCCCTGTTCAACGGCTACATCGAGACGCTGAGGCGGGAGGCTGAGCGCGTGGAGGCCGACAGCGGGAGGCTGTCCTCAGAGCTCAACCACGTGCGGGAGGTGCTGGAGGGCTACAAGAAGAAGTGAGTACATTTCGGAAGGTCCACTTCTCTCCGAAGGGTTGACATGATATGACAGCTGGGGACCCACTGAGCACACTGGTCTTAGAAACTTCTTTCTTCATTAACTCACTTTTTACTTTTGTCAGCTTTAAAGGCAGTGACAGGAAGACACATGAAGAGAAGCTGAAATGTCAGCAAAGAACCTTTTTATATTGCATTATGAACTTCTTAGGATAGGGACCATATCCCTGTTCATCCATCCATCTATCCATCCATCCACCCATCCCATAAGCCTGTTCTGAACACTTACTCTTTTGCTTTACTGTGCTAGGTACTGGAGGTACAAAAAATGACACTATGTCTCCTCCACTGTTCATAATCACTGGTTCAAGTTACTAGTTCCATCCACTTTTCCAGGCAGTTTATTATACTTGAGTAATAACAAAACCAATATCTTTAAAGTGAATCATGTCTCAGAGAAATGTGTAATTAGGATGTGGGTGAGAGGGATGTTTCATATATCCTGGGGGGTGGATGTGATGGGTCAGGTTGAGCCCTCCTTTCCATTACTAGCTAAATCTCTTGTTTCACATTACCTTACCTTGTGGAGGTATGAAGAGGAGGTCACCCTGAGGACCACGGCAGAGAATGAGCTTGTCAAAATCAAGCAGGTGAGTAGGTCTGCTTGTGGGATAGTCGCCTGGGAGTCTGGTAGCCCTCAGGGCATCAGTATGCCCTTGTTCAGTTAATAAACTTACATTTTATTCCAACCGATAGAAGGGCATTTCCCTTCTCACACTCTAGGAGATCTACAGGGCAGGAATTCTCTGGCTCTTCCTTTATAGAGTGGCCCAGAGAGATGGAAGGACTTTCTAAAGTCACACAGGACATTTTGCTAGAGTTGGTGGGAGACCTTAGTTCCCTTATTCTTGACTTCCTGATCTATGCATATGACTTGCTTTGCAGGGCTGGGGATGGGGTTGGGAGAAGTGGAGCCCCCCTGGAAATCCTCTGCAATGACCAGGGACTGCTGTGTGTTTCTATCTCCAGGAGGTTAACTGTCTCTATGTGCGCAAGGGAGATCTGGAGGCCAATGCACACAGCCTGGTAGAGGAGGTGGGCTTCCTGAAGACCCTGTATGAAGAGGTGAGTACCAGCAGAGAGGACATCATTCAGCCCTCCTGATTCCCAGGCCAGCCTGTGTACAGAGGAAATAGACAGGGGTGCCTGCAGGCGTGAGGGTTTTGGAAATTGTGGTCTTGTGTGTGTGTGTGTGTGTGTGTGTATAAAGGTGGAATGTGAACTCTGTTCTACTTGGCTCTGGATGGTATATATAATGTGAATGACTCTTGGCTCCACAGGAGTTGAGAGTCATGCAAGCCCACATCTCAGACACCTCAGTTATCGTCAAGATGGATAATAGCCGGTACCTAAACATGGACAGCATTGTCGCCGAGATCAAGGCTCACTATGATGAAATCGCCAGCCGCAGTCGGGCCGAGGCTGAGAACTGGTATCGCAGCAAGGTGAGTGGTCCAGGACACCTGCCTCCTAGACATGGTGCTGAGAAGGATTCAAGGTGTATATTAAAAAAGGCTACCTTTGTCTGGGGATTCTGATCCTTAGGGACGGTAGATAAAATATTGACATCTCAATGGGGTAGGCAGGGCTACCGTGTATGGTTGCACAGACTGAGCACTGGACAACCTGTAAATCATCTACATTGTCCTGAATGTATGGGAGGTCCCGTCCTGAGTTTCATGAGCCTCTCTGCTTCCTCTCCCAGTGTGAGGAGATAAAGGCCACGGTGATCCGACACGGGGAGACCCTGCGCCGCACCAAGGAGGAGATCAATGAGCTCAACCGCCTGATCCAGAGGCTGACAGCTGAGATTGAAAATGCTAAGTCCCAGGTAGGATTTTTTTGAGGCCCATCCAGGATCCCACAGGCAGTGTGTGTGCCCAGCTAGATCTCACCATTCACTCTGCAACCCATTTGTATGACTTGAGTCCTAGGTTTTGGCCCCTCAGGGAGCCCTAGTTGATGAAGGGGAGACGTCTGTTCCTGGGGTGATCTCATCTGGGTGGAGAGACTGGACACATCCAGGAAATGGACACAGAGACCCAGGGACCATAACCCACCTTGTTCTCTCCTGGGCCCTTAGAACTCCAAGCTGGAGGCCGCAGTGACCCAGGCGGAGCAGCAGGGTGAGGCGGCCCTCAATGATGCCCAGGGCAAACTGGCGGGGCTGGAGGAAGCCTTGAAGAAGGCCAAGCAGGACATGGCCTGCCTGCTCAAGGAGTACCAGGAAGTGATGAGCTCCAAGCTGGGCCTGGACATCGAGATTGCCACATACAGACGCCTGCTGGAGGGAGAGGAACAGAGGTGGGTACATTCTGCATAGCTGGGGCCTCAATTGCATAGACCTGGTCCATTTTTTTCCCCTCTACTACTTCCCCATTCCTTCTTTTGCTCACATCTTGGAACCCTTTTTGGCTCCCTCTCTGCTCCAAGGAGAGGCTAAGGAGGACAGTCTCAGTTGAGCCCACTGTCTGATTTCCAATGGGCTCCTACGTCATTTGGTTAGGGACAGTAGTTTTCTGGTTCTCTAAGGGAATAAAACATCTATGATGTATGACATTTGTGTATTTCAGTGGTATAAATACTTCTATCATGACTGGGCTCAAGCTACCACTGTGACTTCATGCAGAGTTGGCTAGAAATGTACAAAACAGTATCTGTGAACTAACTGGTAGGAGCTGGTGCCAGAACACCCTTGCTTAAGGGACAGGATAAAAATGGCCTCAAACTGAAAGGGCAAATAGAAAAATATATTTTGATTAGAGAGATGAAAAGCTTGTGGCCCAGGGAGACTGGATTGTTCAGGATGGTAGAGCCAGTCTGTAGGAGTGGGGTAGGCAGTCTGAAGCTGGAGTCCTGGGCGCAGTCCCACTGTAGTAGGACCCTCTTCTTAGAGGGACCTGGGAGGTCCTGCCCCTGGTATTCTCTTGGAACAGAGCTGGGGAGACGTTGAGCCTCTAGGGGTGCTGGACCCCAGACCTCCTCTGACCTTCTGGGGAGGGACTTGGGTGGCTCCTTAGGTGACTGGGTTCAGAGTGGGTGACCATGTGACTTCTGGGATCGTTGTCAGAACTAACACCCAGTCCTAATGCTCTTTTCTCTCCCACATCAGGCTGTGTGAAGGCATCAACGCTGTGAATGTCAGTGAGTAATTTGGGCCCTGAAGGGGAGACACTGAAGTGAGATAGTGGGAAGAATGTCTTAGCTCTGAGGGTGAAAAGACCCAGGGAGAGGAGTTCCATTCATTAGCAGCCACACAGTTACAAAGAGGGAGCTGGTTGACAGGTTATGAGTGGAATAATACTTCATCCCAGGCCTGTTAGAATGTCAGTCTTATTTTCCCCATCATAGGAAGCTCTGACTTTCTCTTTGTCCAAACACACTTGTCCATACTCCAGTTGTCTTGTTCCAGATCAAAACAGGTATTTTGTCAGCGTGGTTGTCCCCATGGAGGTCTTCCTGAAACCAGCTACAGAAGAATAGATTAAGAAAGATTGAGGTCATTCCCATCCAGTGAGGATGGGAGTTCTGAGACCACACGGGAGTTCACATTGTCTTTCTCCCTGGAGATGTGGATGATCCAGAGACATCCTACTGGGTTTTAGGGAGGGAGTTGTGTTTGGGACCAGCTCCCCGCCATCCCCGAAGGTTCTGACTTACCATTGTTGTCTCTGTGCAGGTGTGAGCAGCTCCCGGGGTGGAGTTGTATGTGGTGACCTCTCAGTCACCCGTACCAGTGGCGTCAGGTCCTCTGGGGTGGGAGCCTGTGGCAGCAGCTGTAAGAAGTGCTGAGTTGGCAGGACTTGAGGAGGCACCCGAGCCCCAGCCCATCTCACCCTCTCCGAGCCTCTCAGCTGGCCTGTCTGCCCAACCCTACCATGTGCAGCCCGCCATTCTGACTCACCTTCTCTACTGTCCACCTCTCAGTTCTTGTGTGGGAATCCCCTCCTCCCCTCCTTGTCTCCTNAGAAAAGGAAAGATGACCTCAACAGAAGTAGGTTACCTTTATTCGGGAAAGGAGGGGCGACAGTCGGCCTAAGACCAGGCTGAGCGCCGAGAGGGATCAGGGAGGCTTCATATTTATAGGGAGGTTTGTGGAAGCGATAAGGGAAATGTTAACCAGGCGGGATATTTTGAATACTCTTTTGTTGAGATGACATTTTTAGTTGGGCAGGGAGTGATAAGTCTTCTGGGCAGGTGTAGGGGGTTGGAAGGTTTCTGGACAGGGGGTGGTAAGTCCCAGATAGATGCAACCGCCTGGAGCATCAGGGTGGAACTAAAGTTCTGCTTTGTTTTCTCCAAAGTTAGATGATTCAGCAAGGGGCCTTTGAGACTGTTGTTTTCTTTTCTAGGCCCAAAGACTCCTTCACTTTCTAATATCTCCAGCTTAAAACTCTTTAACACCTATTTTCCCTATCTAATGAGTCACCAAACTTTGTGAATTGTTTTCTCTGCAACTTCTTTCCTTGCAGTAAGTCAGACTAGGAACTCTGAATAAACTTTTTGTCATTAAAATTCTAGATAATATACTTTAAAAATATTTTAATGCATCGTGAGCTAGCAAGAACACATGGGAGGTGATCAGAGTTGGATGACAATAACAATAAGCATGACTCCAGGGAAGTATGTGAATGATGGAGCCTGATGACATGGAAGGGACATCTGTTGGTCATTGGCATTCAATGGATGGAAGCCCAGTATGGTTAGGGGACTGGACACAAAGCCTAGGCCCATAAAGGGAGAATTGGATCCAAGGTCCATAATAGGCAGCTGGATGATACTCAGTGAAAGGGGAAGCAGGAAAAGAATCTGCAAAAAGAGAGGAAAGAAACATGTACATCTTGACCTTGGCTTTGGTAAAGAAAAGTTTTTCCTGATAACTTTAAACCACAAGTTTACCCTCATCCAGCTCTGGGCTGGAGTTCACTTTTTTTTTTTCTTTTGGTGGCAAATACCCATAGTACCGTACATGAGAACGTTGTTTAAAATGAGCCCAGGTTGGTGGTTCTCAACTGAATCTGGCAAGAGCAAATACAAATCCTTTCTAGAAGAATGCCATTCAAACCCAGGCTTCTAGAAATTCTTCCAGAGAGTGTTACAACAAATGGAAGCTCACAATTAATCAACAATCATGAAATGTGAACCAAGATGCTATCATTAGAGGGATGAGCAGAAGCATCTCACATCAGCCTAATCCCCAGGAAGATGACTTGTGTGTGTGCTCAGATGCTTCAGTTGTGTCCGACTCTTTGCGACCCTAGGGACCGCAGCCCGCCAGGCTCCTCTGTCCATGGGACTCTCCAGGCAAGAATACTGGAGAGAGGATTGCCATGTCCTCCTCCAGGGGATCTTAACTGACTTTGATAAATTAAGGATTTTTTTTTTTTGATCAAGTTGCATGGCTTGTAGTATCTTGGTTCCCGACCAGGGACTGAACCTCAGCCCCACCAGTGGAATCAGAGTCCTAGCCACTGAACCACCAGGGGAGTCCCAAGGATGCACAACCAATTTTAGCTCTAGAGCAATCACTAAAACAGTGTTTATTATTTTAAAAAAAGTGCTAAAAACCAATAGAATAAATAACCTTGAAATGTTTAAAAAATGTTTGATTAAATCAAAAGAAGGCTGGAAACGAACTGTAGAGAACAACAACAACAAAAAAACCACACCAGACAAATGTGAAACAGACAACCAAATTATTGACTTAAAGCCAGTCATATCAATGATTACATTAAATGTAAATGTAAATAACTCAGCTCTCAATAAGAATGAAATGGAGCAGGACCCCATAGTCCTTGCCCCCTCATGTCCTCTGCCTGCATTTTGTCCGTGGAAAAACGTTAGCCAAAGAATAAGTTTAATCAGAGAAGTCAGAAAATGCAGAAACAAAGGAAAACAATCAAAGGAGACAAGATAATAATAATGTAGTCATTAAATGCAACCAAGAACATTTAGTTCCCTCTCAAGGACTGTGGATAATATGCTGAGCCATATCCTGTGAACCATCTTATAGATACTGAAACCCTCACCAGGTGGAAGAAGTTAACTGTATGATGACCAGACTGTAGCCATGACATAAGCTGCTGTAATTCCAAGAACTGGCTTCAAGGAAACTAGAACAAACTGACCAGGGAACTGAAGATAAACTACCTAAAACAGTCGAATTGACACTGGTCAGACCACTGATGACCGACCTCATGATGACTGTCAGAGCTGACTGTGCTATTTCTGCATGTAGCCCCCTCCTTCTGTCTATAAAAGCTCTTGTCCCCTGTCAATGGTGGGAGGAGTCGGCTTTTGGACAGGTGTCCACCTCCCCCACCCCCCACTCTGCCTCCTTGCTTGCTGGCATGCAAAATAAAGCAAAGTTTCTTTCCACCAACCTGGCCTCTTTAATAGTTTTTGAGCGTTAAGCAGTTAGACTTGGGTTCAGTAACAAGAAGAGAAACAACTCAATCAAAATGGGTAAAAGATTCCAATTGACACTTTACAAACCTAATACAAAGGTGTATTAAGATTCAGTAAGTATGTGAGAATCAAGATTGCTGGGAGAAATATCAATAACCTCAGATACACAGATGACAATGAAGAACTAAAGAGCCTCTTGATGAAAATGAAAGAGGAGAGTGAAAGAGTTGGCTTAAAACTCAACATTCAGAAAACTAAGATCATGGCATCCGGTCCCATCACTTCATGGCAAATAGATGAGGAAACAATGGAAATGGTGAGAGACTTGGCTTCACTGATGCTATGGACATGAGTTTGAGTAGGCTCTGGGAGTTGGTGATGGACAGGGAAGCCTGGCATGCTGCAGTTCATGGGGTTGCAAATAGTTGGGCACGACTGAGCGACTGAACTGAAGTATGTGAGAAGCCTTTCATCATTATTAGTCATCAGAGAAATCTAAACTAAACCACAATGAGAAAAAACTTACCCACTAGACTAATCATTTAAAAGACTAAGCACTTAAAAGACTGACCATCAAGTAGCTGGAACTTTCATGGAGGATAAAATGATATAGTCACCCTGAAAATAGTTTGCCAATTTCTTATAAATTTAAACATACATTTGCCAAATGGCACAGCAATTCCTCTCGGGTATTTATCTACAAGAAATGAAAACAGGTCTACACAGAGACTTGTATGTAAATTACTTAGGAGCTTGAATCATAATAGCCCCAAAGTAAAAACAATAAAAACATTTTATTAATAGGTAAATGGATAAACAGAGATATATTCATGTGATGATTATCACTCAACAAGGAAAAAGAATGAACAAGGAAAAATTCATGAAACAACATGGATGATTCAAAAACATTATGCTAAGTGAAAATAATCAGAGTATACACTGTGTGCTTCTATTCACAGAATGTTCTCCAACTGGCGATACTAATTTCCATTGCTAGAAATTAGATCAGTAGTTGTCTTGGATGAGGTGGGAAGATTGCTGCAAAGGGGTATGAAGGAAACCACTGAGATGATTGCTGGAATGTCATTTATCTTCATTCACTGATGGTTGAATGAGGGCAAACATCTATCAAAACCTGTTGAACTGTACACTTGAAATGTGTGTATTTTACTGTATGTAAATTATCTCCCAATAAAATGGATGAACTAATGACTTTAAAACCCATAAGATACTTAGAAATAAATCTAACAAATATGTGAGAGAACTATGCCTAGAGAAATACAAACATTTTATGAAATGTTACAGGAAATGAAGCTAAAATGCAGACCTAACTAAATGAAGACACACAGCGTTGTTGAGAGAAAAAAAGAGATTAATTGTCCTTAAATTGATTTATAGTATCAGTGCCACTACAATTGAATTCCAAACAAGGGTTTACATAAATATTAACAAGCTGTTTCTAAAATTTATGGTGAAGAGAAAAGTTTGAGAATAGTCAAGGCATTGGTGTAAAAGGAAGAATGAGGATTTGCCCTTTCAGAAAGCTACAGAAATTCAGGGCAAAAGTATCTATACAAGATTAGACAAACTGACCAATGAGACAAAATAGAGAGCTCCTAAATTGATGTGTATAGTATACATACATATATAAAACATATGTATTGCATAATTTATGCTTATGACATACTGTATAATATTTTGCATCATATATTTATATATGACATATTTATATATATATAATACATATCAATTTGGGGGCTCTCTGTTTTGTTACATTGGTCAATTTATTCTTGTGTGTATATATGATATAAATATATTAAATAAATAAGATATAAATAAAATTATATATAATATACAAAGTTAAATACATCTTATATCTATATAGATGTATAGCTATATATATCTTTGATTCACAGATCAATATCAAAGAAAGACCTATACATTGGTTAGCCACATGGGAAAGAGTGAAATTGGATCCCTGACTTCTGTGATACACAAAACCAATTTCAAGCAAATTAAAATTATACACGTCAAATGCAAAACTTTAAAACTCTAAGAAGCAAAAAAATGGGGAACACCTTTCTGATCTTGGTATAGAAAAGGACTTTTAAGCAAGTCACACAGAGTGCTTAATATAAAAGCTTGATAAGTTAGACTACATTAAAATTAAGAACTTTTATTGATAAAAATATGCCATAAAGTAAAAAGGTGAGCTATAAATTTGAAAGTGTTATTTGTGATACATATAAGTGGTAAAATAGTAATAGTTAGAAATATAAAGAACACCTGTAATCCAATAGGAATAAGGCAAACAACCCAATAGAAAAAATGGTCAAAAGAAAGCAAATACATATAGATAATAAACATTTAAAGAGCTATTCAACCTCAACAGTAATCATGAAAATTCAAAGCAAGGTCAAAAATAAGATTGATTATACCATTTAATTGTTTTTTAAAGATATTTATTTATGTATTTGACTGTTCTGGGTCTTAGTTGCAGCAAATGGGATCTTCAGCTATTGCATGAAAACTCTTAGTTGCAGTATGTGGGATCTAGTTCCCTGACCAGGGATTGAACCCAATCCCCTGGCATTGGGAGCATGGAGTCTTAGTCACTGGGCCACCAGGGAAGTCCCCATTAAACTGTTGAAAATTAAGATTTGTGGAGAATATATGAATCTTTCATACAGTGCTGTCATGCCATGCCTGTTACTCAGTCGTGTCTGACTCTTTGCGACCCCATGGACTGTAGCCCACCAGGCTCTTCTGTCCATGGGATTCTCCAGGCAAGAATACTGGAGTGGGTTGCCATGTTTCACTCCAGGCGATCTTCCCAACTCAGGGATCGAATCTGTGTCTCTTGATTCTCTTGCATCGGAAGGCAGATTCTTTACCACTAGCGCCACCTGGGAAGTCATACAGTGCTGATCAAAGTGTGAACTGTTACTATAACAACTTTGGCAAATAATTTTTGTTTTGTCATGTTGAACATTTGAACATCCTAAGAGCCCCAAGTTCCACTCCTAGATCTTAGAAGTGTATCAAAGAGAAATTCTCACATATGTGCATCAGGGGTCATTTAGAAAAATGGTTGTAGAACCAACTTTGTAAAAGGAAAAAATAAAACAAAATAACATAGAAGTGTAGTATATTCGCTCAATAGAATACTATGAATGCTCAGGGAGGAATCCTAGCTATATAATGTTAAAAGACAAAAAAAAAAAAAAGCAAGCCCTGTTTAACTGATACTCTTTTTATTAAAAAACAAACAAGGTAACCTTACAGATATATTTTTAGATATATGTAATGTATGTGATAAAACTTTAAAAAAAAAAAAAGCAAGGGGATGTTTACACAAATTCAAGGAAGTGGTTACCTCCAGAGTGAGAGGGAGAGGACAGAATGGGTTCTTGTGTCAGTAAGTTAGTTCATAGATATTTCATATTCATTACATTATTTAACAAATAATGAGATTAATATGCTATATATAAGAAATGAAACCTAAACATAAGGCTTGGTGAAGAAACTAAAACATATGAAAACCTAAACATGAGCCCTGACTGAAAACCTAAACATGAGCCCTGACTGAAAACCTAGGTCAATAAATTGAAAGTGAAACATTAAAGTGACCGATTAGAGGATCAGAAGGCACTTTATAGTAGAAATAATTTTTCATAAAATCAGTTTATGTGTGTGGATATGTATATAGGTACAGATTCATGATATAAAATATATATATTTTTAATTTGTGTAATTTTTATTTATTTGACTGGCTATGTTGCGTTTGAGTTACAGCACATGGGATCATCGCTGAGTCATGCGGGGTCTTTGGCTGCTGTGCGTGGGCTCCAGAGCCTGTGGGCTCAGTAATTGCAACACTTGGGTTTAGTTGCTCCCCTGGCATGTGAGATCTTAGCTCCCTCCCTGACCAGGGATAGTATCTGTCTTCCTCGCATTGCAACACAGATTTTTTACTGGACCACCAAGGAAGTCCCTAAAATGTATTTCTTATCATTTGAGCTATGGCTATAAAAAAATTTGACAGCCAGTACCCTAAAGAAACTCTTGCCAAAGTACACTAGCAAATACATACCCCAAAGTTCATAGCAGCATTGTTTGCTATGACCAAAAGAGAGAAAAAAAAAAAAAGCACACACGTGTATACCCCTAGGAGCAATAATCACACTGGGATACTCTACAGCATTGCAATATGAACTAAGCTACATGCATCAGAATGGTTGAATCTCATAATTAGAACGTTGAGGAGGGAGGAGCAAGTCATAGAAGCCTGCATGTAATTCTATTTATAGAAATCTTACAGGAAGGCAAAACTAAAACAGTTGCTTAGGGATTCATACACATATGATACAACAATAAAGGAAACACAAGGGGGTGCTTAACGCAAAAGCCCAAGATAGTGTCACCTTGGAAACTGAATGGGGTCAGAGGGAGAGGGTGCTGTAAGCAGGAAGGGTCAGTCCCACAGCGGGCTTTGAAGGTTCTGGTGGGCACACAAGGGCTTGTTTTATTATGTCACTATTTAAATCATCAAATGCATGTTATATATACTCTTGCATGTATGAGAAATTTATCAAACAGAAAAAAATGCCGATCAACTTGTGTTCTCTGGTCCCTGATACTCCTTCAGCTTGGAGTCCTATGTCTCCTCAGATTTCTTACCTGCTAGTGGAAATGAACTCCCAGCCATAGCTTCTCTCCCTCCTATCTGTCTTCTGCATTGCTATCAGACAGGCCTTCCACACTGCATCGTACGTACACCAGGCTGCTGGCCTCTTCAAGCACCTTCTGTGGCTCCCTGTTGCCCACTCCCAAAGCCCAGACTCCCCAGCTCCACACATTTCTCCCACCTGAAGTCCTTTTCCTTCCCCCACCCCACTTCCTCCTCCTCCTCTTTCCTTGAAGGTCCTTTCCAGCTCAGACACTAACATGTTCCCCTCTGGGCTCACAGGATGGCCCTTCCACCACTCTCCCCAATCAGAACTCTGCAAATGTAACAAGATGAGGTCACAGAGCCCCCAGGAAGAAGAGGCTTTGTCCCTCAGAGCTGAGCATTCTAGGAACTCTCTGGGCTAGAGAGCTTCAGGGCTCACAGGAGGCTTGGAGGAGAGAACAGCTCTGCTCATCATGGTGAGACTTGTCTACACAGCTCATTAGTTCACACAAGAGGAGGGGTCTTGAACTCCACCCAGATCTGTTGGACCCCACCAGGCACGAGCTTGCCTGCTGTGTCTTCAGCTTTTGGGAACGAGAGCGGGTGCAGGCAGTAAGAATAGGGCAGAGATTGGTGGGAGATGAAGTTTTGCAGTCTCTTTTCATCCATTTTCCACACCCTATCTATCAATACCTTGGAAGGAAATTTGCACTGGGCTGGAGTGAACAGTTCCTATTCTCTGTGTTGAAGGGCCTGTGTGACTTTATCTGTTCCTTGGGGAGTAGGGCAAAGTGCGTGGACTTAAGATGCAGCCAGGCTCAGCCATTGACTGCAGGGTCGGTCATATCCCTCAGGGTCCCTACTTCTTGCATGGTGGCTGAGCATCAGCTTGCCTGAGGGAATATAATAGATACAGGAACATCTCCCTGGTCTACTTCACAGGTGGACCTGAGCCCCAGGGAGATGGTGGAGGGAAAATACTAGAGAGAGTAAGGCACTGTGAAAGCATCGGTCACCGTACCCAACTGGTTAGATGTTGGCATGTACAGACAGGATGCAGCAAGGGTAAAGGCCCACTGATTTTGTCCCTTGTCGTCCCATAATGTTGTCCCAGAGTGGCCTGGGGTTTGGGGAAGTAGCTGGAAACTGGATCTCTTGTCACTGATTAATAACCTTCATCAAATTAGGAAAGTTTCTTCATATTCTTAGATTTGAAAAAGTATTTTTAAAATTCAGGAATGTTGAATTTTATTAACTGCCTTTTGTATTCATTTAGATGAGTCTATGTAGTGAAGGACTGGAATTGATTTCCTAGGGTTAGCTACCCTGATTCTTGGGGTCAGCTCGGTGTGGTCTCAGTACAAAGACTCAACAGACTGCTGCACTCTTACCCTTTGTGGCTGAGTTCACACTACCTTTGGCATCCGCAGACCTGGTAGCCCATGCGTCCTGGTGCCAAGTGCGCTTCCTTCTCTCAACCACCTCTGGGGATAGAAAGGATGACCATTCCCATCTTATCGATGGAGAAGCAGAGGCTCAGAGGAGTCAAACGACCCACCCATGATAGCAAGTGGGTGGGTGGGTGCTGGAACGGTCTTGCTGGTCTCCAGTGAATGCACCTGCTGCTTCCTCATCTTCTTGATCACCCCCCCACCCCACTTGGCTGTCCCCACCTCACAGTGCGAGGGGATAAAGGCAACAGTGCAGAAACATGTGCAGAACCTGCGACACAGTAAGGAGGAGCTAAACAGGCTGAACCAGGCCATCCAGCGGCTGACAGTGGAAGTGGATGGCACCAAGAGCCAGGTGAGGGGCGGGTGTGGGGGTGGCTGAGTGGTGATGCTGGTGACGCATCCTAGACTAGACTAGACCTTCCCCCCATCCTTTGGATAGAGTTTCTCTTTGTGAAGTTCTGAGCAAACAGGAGTGTGGATATGTGTGTATATACCATGCTTCCATTTGCTCAGGACTTTGAGTTTTTTTTTTAATGTGGATACGTAATTAACACGTAGGTAAAAATGTATGCATATGGATGCTTGTTTGTATATCATTTTTTATGTATATATATATTTTTAAGTCTGTATGTTTTGTGATTGTCCTACAGTGTGAAATTTGAGCCCATCTTCAGAAATGGCAAGATCTTACCTAGAAATTCAGTATCATGGATTCCCTCTATAAACATGCAGATCTGGCAATATTAAACTGGTCTCACATGGTCTCACACAGTAACATCTGGTGAGGGAAGAGAGGCCTCTACCTTCTCTTTCATCTTCACATGGGGCTCATGTTCCTGCAGTGTGCCGCAGACTCCACCACTCCAAATTGCATCCTTTGACACTGAGGCAGAGGGATCTTTGCCATTTATCCTCACCTTGGCTAGTACTCTTGTCATTCTTGTCAAAGAGATAGAGCTAGGCTCTGGATCTAGCTCTCTATCTAAGGTGAAGAAATGAAAGACTGAAAACAGGAAAGACATCCTTGTGATTTCAGGAAAATTAAGAGTGTGTACATTTCTTTATAGAGCTGGGTACTATCCACATATACTTTACATTTGGCCTTTATTCCCTCTCCCCTCCCTCCCTGCCACCCCCGCTGTGCCCAGTCTTAGTTACAGAACTCCTAGTTCCCTGATCAGGGATGGAACCAGGCCCTGGGCATTGGGAGTGCAGTCTTAACCAATGAACCACCAGGAAAGTCCCTGGCCTATACTTTTTGATGTCTCCAGCCAGGCTCTGTAGGCATTTGTGTTTCTCAGGCTTTAGGCTCCAGAAAGAGAAGGTTCCCACATGAATGCCCTCTTTCTCCCCACCTCTCTCCCTCTCACCCACTCCTCTTTTTTCTCAGCCGCCCTCTTGGTTAAGCTCCTGCCCTGGCCCATGCTCCATCCCGCAAAGGGAAGAGGTTCTGCTTCCAGTCAGTTCTTGTTTTCTGCAGAGACAAGTGTCTCAGGCTCTGCAGGATATTCGTGGGGGTTCTCCCTTCTCCAGGAACCCCTGGCTTTGAGGAGGGACAAGCTGTTCAGGTTCCAGGGGTGACAGAGTGGTGGCTGGGTGGGCCCAGTCTCCCAGCAGACTCAGCTGCTCTGATTCCCTGACTGGTTCCCTAAGCAGCAGGTATGCCTTCTCAAGGCAGCCCTTTATTATCAATATTTTTTTCCCTAGAGACTACAAATTCCAGTCTCTTATGAGGAAAGGATACTCTTCCTGTTCATTCCCTGATGAAACAATAACCCCAGAATGACATGCTAAAATGTATTTTATGCTTCCCAGACCCTAGCTCATTTTGGAAGTGTCACTATACTAGATGTGGGCTTCCCAGGTAGGCTAGGGGTAAAGAACCAGTCTGCCAAGGTGGGAGCTGCAGAAGACACGGGTTCAACCTCTGGGTGGGAAGATCCCCTGGAGGAGCACATGGCAACCCACTCCAGTATTCTTGCCTGGAGAATCCCATGGACAGAGGAGCCTGGTGGGCTACAGTCCATAGTGTTGCAAAGAGTTGGACATGACTGAAGCAGCTTAGCATGCACACACACATACTAGATGCAAAAGGCTCTCAGTCATCTAAGAAGGCTGGTCCCCAACCTCCACCCTGGGAGTGGGGCAGACACACAAACACAGATTTCAGAGCAGGCACACTCATTCCCCTTAATGATCTCTAATTTCTCTTCGGCCCTCCGGCTATGGAGAAAGGTGTGGATCCTTGAGTGGGGAGGGGCTGAGGATGTCCTCCTGTCTGTGGTCTTTGCCCCCTTTGCCCCCAGTCCTGTGAACCAGAGAAAGCCAAGGACCCAGCCGCTCTGCAGGAGGTAAGTGCCTCAGGAAGCGCCAAGGGCAAGCTGGTCTGGCTGGAAGCTGCCCTGCAGAAGGCCAAGCAGGACATGGTGCGGCAGCTGCGTGAGTACCAGGAGCTCATGATCGTCAAGCTGGGCCTGGAGTTTGAGATCGCCATCTACAGGAAACTGCTGGAGGGCGAGGAGAGCAGGTGAGGGCTAGGCGGTGCTTCATATGTGGTCAAGGCGAGGAGCAGAGAGGCTTAGGGAGGATCCCGCCTGGGTCCTTGCCAGCTGGGGTGGGGGCTAAGGTGAGGAGAGGTGAGCTTGGTATCCAGGGATCTGTTCTCCTGGAGTCAGTTTTTTTCCCTCCATCTCACAGACCTTTAGACCAAGGGTCCCAGCTAACAAGTAACCTTAGCACATGTGATGAGTGACTTTTACTTCCAGGATCAGAAAGCAGGGGCCAGTTTGTCTACTGAGACAACGGCAAGGACCAAGGCCCAGACAGGGGGAGTAAGATCCCTGGTGTGGGTGCCTTCAGCTCTGCTCCTCTCTCCTTCAGGCCTAGGGGAGGCAGGGTTTATGGCAACGGGTAGGGTCTGGCTTTTAACATTAGGCAGGTAGAGACCCAAGGGCTTCCAGCTTCAGCTGGGCCCACTAGGCTGAGGGGAAGGAAAGGGAACCCATTGTGCAGCAGACAAGCTGCATTTATTGTCTCCTTTAAACTCCTGCGGGGGTGGGGGGGGGGAGGTTCTATTATCCCCATTTTACAGACGACGAAACTGAGTCTCAGAGAGTAGAAGACCACCTTAAGGACCCACAGGTAGAAACTGACTGGGTGAGGCTAGAATAATATTCTCCAGACAACTCACCTATCTCCTCTAGGATCTGCCTTCAAAATGCCCCCATCATGGGGTCTAATTTCAAGATAAGTTTAAGCTAAAGACAGTGTAGATCTTCTGCCTTCTCCCTTCTCTAAGAATTCTTCAGTAAAAGAATTATTTGAATTTAAGACAGGAAGGGTTGAGTGTAAAGGTCCAGAAGGAGTCTTTACTCGAAAGGGCTGAGGGGATCTGAGAGACCCAAGTAGCTTCCAGAATGGAAGGATTTCTGCCTGTCGGAAGGGGCCAGAAGTGCTTTGTTTTGAAGAATGGTGAGTATTCTGTCTGGTAGATGGATTCACTCACCTGCTCCCTCCTTCTCCCTGCAGGCTTGGTCTGGGATTTGGGGCAGGAAATGTCAGTAAGTAAATAGGAGAGTAACTTGGGATGAGAGGGGTCACATGTTATCCCCTCCCCACCCTGGGTATGTATCCTCTCTGGGAAGGGCGTAGGGAGCCGCTTCCTCTGTGTGTCTCCCATTTGTGAGCGCTGTTTTTATTCTCTTGGGGGTGGTTTTTTGGTGTTTGTGTGTATCGGGAAAGGGGGTTCTGTGATCTGTTCTTTGGCGGAGGATCTGTTGGTGTGTCTTGGGGTGTGGGAGGATGGTCTGTGGGTTTATCCCCGTGGAAGAGACTGTTTTATTCTCGCGTGGGGGAGAATCTGGGGCTGACTCCAGGGAGGGGACACTCCCAAGTTTGTTTCTTAGGGGATGGGATCTGTGTATCTCACTTTGAGGAGTTTGCACGTCTGTCTCCTGGTAGGGGGAGGTGTCTGCGCATCTGTATATCTGTATGTCTGTCTTCTGGGGCGGAAAGGGCAGGGGAGACGATAGAGCTTTTTCCTCCAACAGCCGCTCTCCGCTCAGTCCTGGGAAGTGCTCCCACCGGCCTGCCGGGCTCAGCCTCGGGCGCCGAGGCACTGCTGCCGCCCGGAGCGGGTCCCAGCTCCGTGGAGACCAGCGCCCCTGGCGGCGGCTGTGCGCTCTGCGGCTCCCCCGGCTGTGTCTCGGGTTTACGCTGCAGCGGCTCAAGCGGATGCTGAATCCTTCCTGCGCTACTCCGGAGAAGTCAAGGAACCCTAGCTTCCTCCCCAGTGACTTGGACCTGTGTCTCAGATGCCCTCTCCCATGGTTCCGACCCTCGTCTTACCTCTCCTTCTTGTCCCCGACCCTAGAGTATAAAGTCTTTGAATGCAGTTTACTGGACCATGGTAGACCAGTCCCCAGTGTGGGGATAGGCTGGACGCTGTGCCACTGGGAAGCATGGCATTTGTNGGGGGGGGGGGGGGAGCAGGCCATAAACCAGGAAATGGAGCAGAAAGAAATACAGTGATGGGGTTGAAGGTGAGCCTCCCTCTACCGCCCTGGTGCGAGCACTTGAGGACAGGCCCTGGGGACAATGACCCTGGCAGATTAGGGCTGGAGGACATGGACACAGTTGGGTGGTCCAGGTTTTAAATGAACAAATCATTTGACCATGGGCTGGGAACAACATACCACAGAGGAGGAAAACATGAGCTTTGGAATCAGAAGTTCCAGTTTGGCTACTTCCAGGTTTCTGGTGTAGTTTGGTCTGCATTTTCACAAGGCATCTTTGGGAGGGGGTGCAGAAGGTAGGCCAGTTTGTGGCAGTGGGGTGGCCTGAGAAAAGCTGGGTTTCTGGGTTCTTTCCTTGCCACACAGACCTGAGAGAAACTTCCATTCAAGGAGCTCACATTCTTTTCTGTTGCACAAAAGATTACATCACCAACCTATCTGGCAGACAATGGTCCCTGCTTTCTATGTCCCTGGGTGGGGCTAAGGTGAGTCACTGGCCAGAGGCCCCAGGTTTACCTTTTAAGGTTCGCTAGTGCCAGAATGTCTGCTGTGTTTCCTGGGTTCCTGCCCAGAGAACAGGTACCCAAAAGGCCTACCTCCTGGATAAACAGAGCAGTCTCATGCAAGAGGAATGGGACCAGAACTTGGCTGGCAGCCTGCCATTCACCTGAGGGACAGGGAGCATCAGCCCCCTTGATCCTTTCTGACCGACACCAATGGTATAAACATTCTGACCAACACACCCAATGCAAAGCAGCTGCCTGAAAGCAGAGCCGCTCCTCTGCACACTTTTTTCACTTGGATTTTGTGTTCCCTGCATTTTGGTAGGAGGTGATGAGAGTCTCTGATATTCAAAGTCAGGTTTTTCCACCTTCTGCCGTGCTGATCATGTCAATGAAGGAAGATTACGGGAAGTGAAAAAGGAAGAACTATGCCCCTCCCTGCCCCCACCCCACCCCATGTGCCCCAGGAGCTGTAGGCAGGATTGATGGTGAGTATCCTGCATCCAGTATCACTGAGGACTAGTTGCAGACCACAGGTTTTCTTTCCAAATCCCAAGCCTGATGTCAGGCTAGAGACGCCTTGGGCCATGGGGTCAGATTTTAGTCACCTGTTGGGCCCAAGCCAATGCTTGTGGTCTGGGGACCAATTTTCTGAGTGGCTTTCCTGGCCACGGGCCACATTCCAGCCTGGGTCATTTATGAAGAGTCAGTCCTTGTCTATTTACAAAGCTTGTGAGTCGAATGACTTCTGAAGAGAGGAGAGGTGTCACCAGTTGCTTCTCAGCGAAAGAGATCCTGAGGGGTCAGCCCCCATCTGCCCCCACACCTGCCTCACACTTGATAGCAGCACTTGGAGTGTTGGATGCAACTTCATAGCATCCCTTGAGGACCGGGACCTATCTCATCCACCCATCTCCAGAGTCTGCTATGTAGTAGATATGAATGGGCTGAAGCTCTGTGGTCTTGTGTGGTCCACTCTGTTCTTGGATGAATTGGGCCCTGTTCTTCCACTATTAACCCTAGAGACCTCCTTGGGAGTCTCTTGATGCATATAAATGCAGCCCTTCCTGATGTGATTCTAGCTACAGTATATCAGCCAGTCCAGCCTGGAATAAGAAGAAAGGGCCCAGATTCTGTTCCCAATCTTGCTTTTACTTTTCAGCTGTTTCTGAGCCTCAGTCCTGCTCTCTTTACACCTAGTGAAGATTCATTTATCCCTTGTATTTTTCCTCCCTAATTAATCTCTCTACTGTTGATCTGTAAAATAAGAGTAGTACCTAACACAGGGAGGTTTCAGAATTTAATATATTACTATATGTAGGAAGCTGAAAATATAGTAAGAATTCTGTGAATATAATCAATATTTCACTTACTGGAGTTCTTGGGGAAAGTTTTGAGTACCTTTGAAGAAGGCTGTCTAACTTTAAGAAGGCCAGCTGGTCTCCTTCTGTCCTGGCTGGAGCTGCAGTAATTGCAGGGCAGGAGGGTTAGGTAGAGGAGCCCAAGTTAGAGCTAGGGTCCCCCAGTCAGAGGGTCCCTCCCCAGTATGACCCCCAGCAGCACCTGCCTACCACCACTCCCACCACAGTGTGGAGTCCAGTTCTTCATATGTGACCCTGTCTCACCAAAACTAGTCCACTTGTGCACACATACTGCAGTCATACCCTCCTGTACCCACAGATGTCCTCTCTTCAGCACATACTCACAGGTATATACATATTCACACATGTGCATGTTTCCACACAGATGCCCAGACCTGTGCATGTACCTGGATGCAATCATTCTGTTCCAGTCACAGACAGAAACCTACAGACAGTGAGCTGTGAGGGATGAAGCACAGTGCATGACACCATGGCTCCCTACTTCCCTCCAGCTCCTGTCCTGTCCCATGTCTGCTAAAGAATCATAGAGCTTTCACTGATTACATGAGCCAAGACATGGAAGCAACCTAAATGTTCATTGACAGATGGATGGATTACGAAGATGTGGCATTTATANTTGCGCAACATAGATGGACCTAGAGATTATCATACTAAGCGAAGTAAGACAGAGAAAGACAAATATGATACCACTTATATGTAGAGTCTAAAAGAGTGATCCTAATAAACTTATTTACAAAACAGAATTAGACTCACAGAGTTAGAAAACAAACTTGCAGTTAGCCAAAGGGGAAAGATCAGGGGGAGGGATAAGTTAGGAGCTCAGGTTTAAGAGATTCAAACTACTATATATAAAATAAACAACAGGTCCTACTGTATATAGCACAGGGAACTATATTAGATAACCTATAATAACCTAAAATGTAAAAGAATCTGAAAAATAATATCTATCTCTCTATCTATATATATACTGAATCACTTTGCTGTATACCTGAAACTAACACAACATTGTAAATCAACTATTTCAATTAAAAAAAAATAGAACTTTAAGTGGCTAAGGGACCTTAGCGTCTATCTGGTCCAATCATTTTTGTTTCCCACTAATGAATACACTGAGGCCTAGAAAGGAGAAGTGACTTGCTGAATGTCACACAGCAAGATGTTTCATTTTCTTTACCATCCTGCATCATGGGCAATATGTATGTGATTCATTCACCCTCGTGCCTCTGCCTAAGCCTGTCCAGGACTGGGAACCTATAGGTAGGTGAGCATTGTGGAGCTGGAGTAGGTAAGAGGTCAGAGCCAGAGGGAGGGTGAGAGAGTGAAGTATGACAGGTCATCAAAGTCCAGCTGGGCTGATGCGACTAGTGAGATGCAGAGGGAGGGGTCAGTTGATGGAGCTGTCTCTCAGGACAGTTCCTGAACTGGGAGTGGGGGATAGAGCTGATGCTGGGGCCTTGCACCTGGACTCCAGACAAGGTCTACTACTGAGCTGTGTGTTGTCACAGCACAGAGGGCTGGTTAGAACAGTTGTGGATTCTGTAACTCTCCAAGGGCTCTGTCCTCAGAATTCCATTGGAGGGTAGAGGGGACACATTGGTGGTCAGAAGACCTAGGATTAATCCTGTCCTTCAAAAGAGCCTGTGTCTTTCCAGACCTCTCACTTCTGGTCTCAATTATTTCTATTGCCCTTGGTGATGGAATGGAGACTTCCATTTCTGTTAGCTTCCTGGGCCCGGATCCAGAAGTTTTGAGACTCACTGTGCTGTATATGTGTATATTCAGGTACTCAGTTCAGTCTCTAGTGAAGCTGAGGGGTCATCGTCCCACTTGCACCAGCACTTGTAATATCCTCATCAGTGTCAGGGGGACAGTTTACTGCAGGGAGGTGCTTGATGGCCCAGAAGATGTGGGGATTTCTCTTTATGCTTGCATTTCTGATCACAGATGTAAGTGCAATGATAGGCAGGCCATGGCCCTTATCCCAGGAAGGATTTCTATTTTATAGTCTGCAAAAGAATACTACTGACAATAAATACATGTTGTGGTTATTTTGTGGCAAGCACTAGTTATTTTACATATATAAAATTCTTTCATCCTGCCAACAACCCTAGGAGGTGAAAAATAGGTGCTCTTTGTATCATTTCACTTTAGACGTATGGAAACTGAGGCACAGAGAGGGTAAGTAAACTGCTCAAAATCACTCAGCTACGAACAGAGCCCAGTTTTGGACCCATGCAGTCTGGATCCAGGATCTGTTTACTCACCTCTGGGCCGCATCATCTTTTTACTCCTTGTTGTTGTCTAGCTTTGAGGTAATTTATCAGTGATGGCAGGTCTCCAAACCCCAAAAGGACTCCATTAAAAAAAAATGCAGTCATATCAAAGGCTTTTTGAAAGCTTAAGTCATGTTCATATATTCACCCCTTAAAGAATTCTCATGAATTACTCAGTCATGAGTCTTCTCCACCAAAGCCAAGAGTGATGTTTCCTTAAGCTCTGAGTGACAGTTGACTCTATTCCTAAGTTTACAGATGTGTACAGAGGTGATTTCTGGGAGGCAGCTGTGGCTTAGTGACATAACCACTAAACATTCAAACGAGGTTCAAACCCCAGCTGTGTGCCACTGAACTCAGGGTAGGGCCTGGCCCCTGCTACTGTGGGTCCCTTAGGTCTAGTTTCTTCCTCTGCAAGATATAGCATGAAGGTGGTGTGGATAAAATTACAGGCTATAGTGGCCTAGCACCGGTCCTTGGCTAAATCTGAGACTGCTGTGAGCCTAGGGACAGAGGACTCTAGTGGAGACCCCGGATCTGGGGCTTTCTCTGTCTGCTTCATGTTTGGGGACCCTCTCAAACCTCGACCCTGAGGAGGATAACAGAAGTACAGACGACGCTCAGGGTTGGCTACATTGGTTTATTGGAAACACAGATCTTGGAAGAGATGAACACAGCAGAGAAGGAAGGGAGATGCTGGGACAGGGTGGGGACTCTGGCCATTGGCCCCACGACAACCCAAAGTAGGGTCTTGGTCCTCCCTGCGCTGGGGTCCCTTCCTGTGGTGACCAAAGGGACTTTTTTCTAGGGTAGCCTTTCCCAGCGCGAGCGGCAGAACCCAGGAAGAGGGCATTAAGCACAGGCGTGAGGAGAGGACAGGAGTGGGACGGACCTTTCCAAGTACGAGAGAGGTAGCCTAGGGCTTGCTCCACCCAGAGCTGGGGTGGGCGGGGAGGGGGCGGGGCCATGCAGGGCGGGCCCTGCCGGGCGGCGCGGGAGAGATGCCCGGGCGGGGCCTGAGATGGGAGGCCTAACATTTGCGACAGACGCTGCCGCAGGAACCCACGCCGCAGGAGCTGATGCCACAGGAGCCCACGCCGCCCGCGCCCAGGCCGCAAGACGTGATGGAATTGCAGGGGCCGCAGGGCGCGCACAGGCCGGTGCTCACCGCCAGGTTCCCGCTGCAGGGGGCGCTGCAGACGCTGCCGGTCACCGGCCGGGAGCCCGACACGCAGAGGTCCCCGCAGACGACCCCGCCGCGGGAGCTGCTGACACCTGCGAACCCCAAAGACTGAGTCAAAATTCTGGGGGGCCGAGGGTGCCGTCTCCCCTCTCCAAGCATCTTAGCAACTCTAGTTCAAAAGAAGTGGTCCTTCCTGCTGTCTGACCCCAAATCCCTCTTCCTGTGATGCCATTTTTAGGTGTCAGAGAAAACACTACTTCCATCCTTTACAGGAAGCGAGTAAACCCATCCACACAGGGCCTAGGATACTCACAGACATTCACGGACCCAACGCCTTCACACAGTCTGAGAGGGAAAAAGGAAATGGCAACATTAGTGACAGCCAGAGCTGCAAAGAGAGCTCCACAAATTCTTGGAGTGGGGTCCACGAGTGGTAAGAAGGAGGAGCAGAGTGTCAGAAGGAAGAGTCCTCAGAATACCCCACCCCACCTCAAAGTGATAAATGATAGGTTTGCCCCAGACCTGGCCATTGCTTAGCCCAGATCAGGGCAGGTATTTGTGTAAAGGGTGGGAATGGGTAGTCAGAGCCAGGCTGGAATGGTCCTCACCTCTGCTCCTCGCCCTCCAGCAGGCGCCTGTAGGTGGCGATCTCAATGTCCAGGCCCAGCTTGGAGTTCATCACCTCCTGGTACTCCTTGAGCAGGCAGGCCATGTCCTGCTTGGCCTTCTGCAGGGCCTCCTCCAGCCCGGCCAGCTTGCACTTGGCATCAGTGAGGGCTGCCTCGCCCTGCTGTTCTGCCTGGGTCACTGCAGCCTCCAGCTTGGAGTTCTAAGGGCCCAGGAGAGAACAATGTGGTCTCTCCACACAACAGGGATCACCCCAGGAACAGGCCTCTCCCCGTCATCACCTGGGGCTCCCTGAGTAACCACAGCCTTGGTCTCAAGTCATGCAAATGGACTGGAGAATGAATGGTGAGATCCAGTTGGGCACACACACTGCCTGTGGGACCCTGGGTGGGCCTCAGAAAAACCGTACCTGGCACTTGGCATTCTCAACCTCAGCCGTCAGCCTCTGGATCACGCGGTTCAGCTCATTGATCTCCTCCTTGGTGCGACGCAGGGTCTCCCCATGCCGGATCACTGTGGCCTTGATCTCCTCACACTGGTTGTGGGGAAAGGGGATGGAGAAGCAGAAAGGCTCATGAAACTCAGGACGGGATGTACCACCCATTCAGAACAACATGGATGATTTCAGGTCGCCCAGTGCACAGCCTGTGAAACCATAAGGGCAGCCCTGTCCTGCCACTATAATCTGAGAGCTGTCTGTACTTCTTTCACCACCTCTAGGGATCAGAATCCCCAGACAAAAGAAATCCTATTAATATATACCTCACATCCCTTCCATAATGTCTAGGAGGAAGATGACCTAGACCACTCACCTTGCTGCGGTACCAGCTCTCAGCCTCGGCCCGGCTGCGGCTGGCAATGTCATCATACTGAGCCTTGATCTCAGCCACAATGTTGTCCATGTTCAGGTCCCGGCTGTTGTCCATCTTGACGATGACCGAGGTGTCTGAGATGTGGGCTTGGAGAACTCGGATCTCCTGCAGATGGTGGGGCAGGAGGATGGAAGTGTCTTGTTTACACCTTTGCTTCCCTCACCACAGCATGTACCAGCCTTCTCAGCCCTTTCTGGTCTCCAGCCCTGGCCCCCTCTGACAGCCTCATGGACTGTAGCTCCTGCCCAAATCCCTGTCCAACTCTGATCACAGATCAGTGCCCTCTCTTCCAGGCCAGCTGCTGCTTTCTGCCTGGACCACAATCACTCACCTCCTCATATAGTCGCCGAAGGAAGTCAGTCTCCTGAATCAGGGCCTCCACATTGGCCTCAAGGTCTGATTTGCGGAGGTAGGCACAGTCCACATCCTGGGAAGATGGGGAGTCTTTGAGCAAAGAGGACCCCTGGTGATCATCACCTGAATTCCTCTCTCTCCTCACACAGTACATGGAGGTGAGGGAGAAAGGATTCCGTGTTCCTCTTCCTGTCTTATCTCCATGCTGCCCTTCCCTGGAGGCATCTCACAACCTCCTCCCCTTCTAAGAACAAATGCCTTGTGCCTTGGAGGTGGACCATTAGCCTTTCACTCCTCCTACCTGAGATCTCTTACCTCCCATGTCTTCTTTTTACCCTAAGCTTGCCAGACTGGCTCCCTTGCTCAACCACCTGGACCCTTCCCTGTTTCCCAACAGTCCTCCAAAACTCCACCTGGCCACTGTTGGCTCTGCTTCATCCTCCCCGCCAGACCCTGGGACTGTGCCCCTCCTCTTAACCAGACTCCTGAAACGCTAGACAGAACACCATCCCTCAACAGAGAGACGGAAGCTACCATGCCTCCATGGGAACCCATTCACAGACTATCAACTCCGAAGCAGCATAGAACATCCAGAGATCAACTCAATCATACCCCTGCTTCAGGTCAGGGTGCTAGTGAATTTTCCAAGGTTACTGCCCTTGTCAAAGCCTTGAATGTGCCTTTCATGACCTGGTCTATGGGAATTTCCCATCCTGACTTGGCAAGGTCACTGCACCCCACAGGGAGGTTGAGAACATAGATCTCCCCAGCAAGAGCTTGTCATTCTGATATCCCTCATGTCTGTGCTTCCCAATCCTGTGTTACTCACCTTCTTCAGAGCCACAAACTCATTCTCGGCTGTTGCTCTTAGAGCAACTTCCTCCTCATACCTGGGGGAAGAGGACAGAGGGAGGTCACCATGTCACAGGAGTGAAGGGGACAACACTAGGGACCTCCCCACATAGCCAGATTCCTGGCAGCCCTGCTGGGTCCTCTCTGGTTGGACTTGGGGTGTGTCTGTGATTCTCTCTCCACTTGGAATTGAGGGATCCTGGGGGTGACTCTTCTGGAACCTCACAACTCTGCTGCCCAAACTGCTCTGAGGTCACCTCTAGAGGAAAATAAGGACTCAGCACCAGTCTGGAGTGGACAGCAGCCCCTCTGGGGCACTGCAGTCCCAGCCACCCCCAACCTGGGTGTCCAACCTAGCTCAGCTGGGGGAGGACCTATGAATCTCAGAGGCCATCAGCACTAGAGCAACCTAGACAGTGGGACACCCAGAGACCCAGGACCTGGCAGCTCTGAGAGACATTGAGACTCATATCACATCCAGGTGCTACAGGTGGGAGCCTCAGGGGCCAGGTCTGGGAGAATGCAGATGCCTCCTCCCCACAGAGCACAGGGCACTCTTGCTGGGTGATCAGGCTTTGAGAAGAGAAGCCTGAAGGAGGGGAGAGAGACTTCCTAGAGAATCATGGCCCTCCTCATAGGCATCTGAGCAACGACTGCCTGATGGGAAGATCCTGCTGCATACCACCAGCTTGCCCTGCATGGTCACACCCCCTTCTTTGAAGTTCTTTTCCAATTTCATCCAGTGGGTTGAATCCATGTCCATTTCCTGTGCCCAACATCACCCTCAGCCACACTCACCTCTTCTTGTAGCCCTCCAGCACCTCCTGCAGGCTGTTGAGCTCCGACGACAGCCTCCCGCTGTCGGCCTCTGCGCACTCGGCCTCCCGCCTCAGCGTCTCGATGTAGCCATTGAACAGGGGCTCGAGGTTGCTCTCACAGCACTGGCGGTTCTGGTAGAACTGCAGCTTGGTCTCCAGCAGCTTGTTCTGCTGCTCCAGGAAGCGCACCTGCCATTTGGGGTGTGGGAGGGGTCAGATGGCTCCTACTGCCCCCAAGCCTATTTGGGGGATGGGGGGGCCTGGGGAGGGTGCTGATTGCTGTAAGGTAAACTCCAAAACCAGTACTTTTTCTGACAAAGGTCCATATAGTCAAAGCTAAGGTTTTTCTAGTAGTCATATATGGATGTGACAGCTGGACCTTAAAGAAGTCTGAGTGCTGAAGAATTGATGTTTTCAAACTCTGGAGATGGAGGAGACTCTTGAGAGTCCCCTGGGCTGCAAGGAGATCAAACCAGTCAATCCTAAAGGAAATCAACCCTGAATATTTATTGGAATGACTGATGCTGAAGCTGAAGCTCCAAAACTTTGGCCACTTGTTGTGAAGAGTTGACTCATTGGAAAAGACCCTGATGCTGGGAAACACTGAGGGCAAGAGGAGAAGGAAGAGATAAAAGATGAGATGGTTGGATCGCATCACTGACTCAATGGACATGAGTTTGAGCAAGCTCTGGGAGATGGTGAAGGATAGGGAAGCTGGTGTGCTGCGATCCATGGGGTCGCAAAGAGTCGGACACAACTGAGGAACTGAACAACAACAACGCAAACCAAGAGCTCAGCAGAGATTAGACAGAGGGAACTGTGAAAGCGAGGCAACTTCTGGATTTCAAGATAGTGATCATGTTTGGATTTTCCGTATTAGAGGTGAGAGCAAGGGGTTGGGAAAGATCATTCCCTCCTCAGGTCAAGTGAGTTATCCTGACCTGCTGAGTCTAGATGACATGTGGTCGGGAGCCAAGTAGAGTTCTTTTTGCATTTGACTGCCCCATCAGTGCCCAGCCCAAGTTTAGTCTTGGTGGGTTTAGAATAGGTGTGATCAAGGACACCCACTCAAAGGCTGAACTGTGGTTCTGTTCCTATATCTTGTGTGCATTTGTTGAGTCTTGTTTGCATGTACGCTTTCTTCTCTGACATGTGGTTCCAAGCCTTGTCCTGGTCTGTGTGTAGGGCCCTTGCCTGTCTGGACAGAGGTTGTAAATAATATCAGTGCTCTAATCAGGAGCCCCTGATCTAGACTCATCTCTCTGGTCTGTCTGTACCCTGGAAGTGTGTCCATCTCCTCCATCAGCCTGGGGGCTCACCTGGCCCACATCTCTCCTGCCCCCTGACTAACCCTTGAGTGCCCACCCAGGAAGGAAAGGTTCAGGAAGGGTGTGATCAAGGACACCCACCTTGTCAATGAAGGCAGCGAATCTGTTGTTGAGACACTTGATCTGCTCCTTCTCCTCTTGCTTCACGCACTGCGCATTAGGGTCGATCTCCAGGTTGAGGGGCGTGAGGAGGCTCTCATTGACGGACACGGTGGTGATGCAGGGAGGGCTGAGGCCGCCCACGCCGCCGGAGCGGTACCCGAAGCTGCGGCCAAAGGAGCCAGTACGGAAGCCCCCACAGACGCTGCGGCTGCCGAAGCCCCCGGTGAGGCCGCGGTAGCAAGAGATGCCGCGGTAGGGGGCGGCCGTGATGCAGCAGCGGCCGGGCCGAGGTCCGCAGGCGGAGACGCAGCTGAAGGCGCGGCCACGGAATCCTGATCCGCAGGTCATGATCCTTCTGGAGGTGTAGGTTGCAGAGTACAGGAGAGGTGAGCTGGAGTCTTGTGGAAACTCCAATGTCCTCCTCAAAGAGCCGGGGTCCTATTTATGCTCAGGTCGGAAGGGGCTTGGCTATGCAGATGCCGTTGTGGCAATTTGCACTTTATGGGCTTGTGTGGCTAGCTGAGTTCAACGCCTCTCTAGAATGTGCTTTAATAGTGGCCCGCACCCTCTTCTGTGTAAAGGATGCCAGTTCCTGGGCTGTAAGGGACTCAGCATGTTTCATCTTCAAAGTGCCTTGCCAGCTGGGCATGCAGTCATCTTAGGAGACTGGAAAGAGAAGGGCAGGGCAGGAGAGTGGAGGAAGAGAAGGGAAACCAGATGTGGTGGAAGCAGGTGACCTGTGTGTGTGCAGGTGTGAGTGGGGGGCCTAGGAGAGACTGGGGTGTTAACAAGTAACTTCTAGACGTTTCCATCCAGTAGTGGGCAAGGCACTACTGTTACATAAAGCTGGATTTTCCCAATCTCCAGAGAGTCCAGTTGGCTGCTGAAAAACATTTGACTTTTCCTGCCATGACAGCAGCCAGCAGATTATTAAATATTTGTGTTTTATGTTTTCTTTCACTTTTATTATGAGAATTTTCAAAATTAGGAAAGTTGAAGAAATGGTACGTGTATAACAAAACCCTGATGTGTTCCACCCAGGTACCCACATTCAAGAGTTATTAACATTGTGCCATATTTGCCTTCACATTTGTCCAGTTATTTGATGATTACAGAAAGCATAGCATGGAACCCTTAAATACTTTAGCATGCATTTCTTAAGAATAGAGACAGTACCATTTTTCACATGCAAGGAGAAGAATGATAATTCCAAAAAATCATTTACTATCCATTCATATTAAAATTTCCTAACTGTCCTATGATTTTTAAAAATAGGTTTTTAAAAATAACTTATGGCTATATCTCTTGTATTTTCTATACACTGGAAAGTAACTCTTGAGCTGGGCTGTTCAATATGGTAGCCAATAGACACATGTGGCTATTTAAATTTAAATTAGTTAAAATTAAATAAATTAAAAATCTAGTCTTTCAGTCACATGCCACGCATGACTAGCAGCTACATTATTGACAGAACAGAAACAGAACATTTTCACCATCACACCAATGTCTTTCAGATAGTGCTGGTCTGGAGGCTTGATTGCGTTTAACTGAAAATGTTTTGGGGCAGCATATATCATAAACAATGCTTTATAACTCTTACTGTATCTCCCCTGAAAGCACAATCAAGTTGTCTTGTTACTGGTAATGCTAAATCAGATCACTTGAGTATGTTTCCCCCTTTACAATTAGAAAGACTTCTGTAGGGAAATATAGGTTCTATTTTCTTTTTACTGGCCACCTACTATGTTACCAACACTATATGCCATAAATGATCTCTAATTCTCACATCCACCATATGAAGTAGGTATCATTATCCCTATTTTACAGATGAGGAAACTGAAGCTTAGAGAGGTTAAATAACTTGCCCCAAACCTCCCAGCTATTAAGAAGTGGAACTGAGGAGATGCCAAGCCTTCTCACCTATAGGTTATGACAACCCTTGGATTTCCTAGTCCTTGGAGACTTTCAAGAGGATGGAGAAACTTATTGGGAGAGGGTTACTGTGGATATAGGGCTCCTCTTGTGGCTCAGTGGTAAAGAATCCTTCTGCCAAGGCAGGAGACTTGGGTTCAATTCCTGAGTCAGGAAGATCCCCTGAAGAAGGAAATGGCAACTTACTCCGGTTTTCCTGCCTGCAAAATCCAGTGGACAGAGGAGCCCTGATGAGTTACAGTTCATGGGGTCACAAAAGAATTGAAAATGACCTAGAAATTAGACAACAACAGCAATCTGTGGATATAGGATTGAGGAGAGCCAGTCTAAGAAAAATGGGCAGAGTCAGGGGGTTTTGGAATGGTTGGAACCAGGAGGGCCAATGTGCATGCGTGTGACACAGGGCAATGAGAGACTGAGGAGAGGAGATCTGCAGGACCCTGTGGCTGAGAATTGAAGGAAAGGGACGGAGAATAGCAGTTTTAGCTATTTGCTTGCGTCTGGTATATTGTAAGTACCTTGATAAGATTATACTGTGTTCTACATACATGAAACACCCCATTCCAATAGAGCAAGACTAGAAAAATGACCCTATAAAAGTACAGGGGTTTGTTTTAAATGGATGGGGAAAAAAGAGAAGAGGAACACTGTAGCTGTCAGCTCCTGGTAGCTGGCTTGCTGTAGGGGCAAAGGGCAGTCAAAGCAGCTTTGTACATGGGGTCACTGACCATGTCAGCAATATGGCCATCCCAGAGGAGGGTGTGGCTCCTGATGTCACTTTATGTGTTTGGGGACCTGGGTCAGCTCTTCTGAGGCCCTTTATGCCCTCATCCGCCACTCTGGGCACTGCCCACAATGGAGGTGGTGCTTCCAGCCAGCCAGCTGGGTGTCCCAAGAAGAAGCCCTGTGAGTCAGAGTGCAGCTCACATACACTTTGCCTTTTCTACTAGTGTAACTCCCTATAAAAGTGACACGCATAAACATAAGCTAATTACTAATGGCTGGTCTTTGCTAAGCAATTTGAAAGAAGCAAGAAGGAATTTAAACCAGGATATAAAAAAATTCAAATGTGACACCATTTCATTTAATTCAGGTATTACTAATGGCTGCTAATTTTGAAGACCTAAAAAGACATTCTATCTGTAGGTTTTCTTGGAGTGAAAAAAGCTCTTGGTGAGGGAAGGGGGGGGGCGGGGAAGGATTGGCAGAATGACTACTCTGTGGTCTTGGCTCTGGCAACGGGAGCTTTATGGAAGTTAAGCTCAGTCAATTGTTCTCAGTTGTGTCCAACTCTTTGTGACCTTTTGGACTATAGTCCACCAGGCTTCTCTGTCTATGGGATTTTTTCAGGCAAGAATACTGGAGTGGGTTGCCATTCGCTTCTTCAGGGGATCTCCCTGACCCAGGGATTGAACCCATATCTCCTGCATTGAAGGTTGATTCTTTACCCACTGAACCATCAGGAAAGTTAACATCACTTTTATTGTGAAATATACCACTCTTACAAAAGAATGTATAGTTGGTATGCCTACCACCTGTGGGAAGAAATAGAACATATGTGTAACTTAGGAACTTCCTCTGAACCTCATTTTCATTGCACCCCCTTCCTTCCTGAACCAGGATGGTTCTTCTCTGGGGTTTTGTGTTGAACGATTCCTTTTCTTTTCTTTAGTTTAAGGACCAAGGAATGCATCTCTAAACCATATATTCCAGTTTTTGAACTTCATATAAATGGAATCATATTGTGTGTATTCCTTTGTTCAAAGTTGCTTCCTATAGCTGTACTCTGTTCATGTTCACTGTGGATTGTACTCTCTGTATGAATATGTCAGTTTATTCATCTTTCCACCTCCAAGGCCTCGTGGCTGTTCCCAGAGTTTGTATTATGAACATATCTGCCATGAACATTATTTCCCATGTCTTCTGGTATATCTGTACAAGAGTTTTTCTAAGGTATGTGGTTATTTAAAAAAATTATTCAGGTAGCATATGCTTAGTGTAGAAACCTATTTTATGAACAGTCTTCCAAACTTATAACATCTGTTGATATTCATCTTATTTCATAGTAGATACTATACTGATTGCCCAACTTGCATTAATGCATTTAATTTTTACAAATTTCCCTTTGAGGCTGATGTTATTATTCTTGTTTTACAGATGAGGACACTGAGGACTAGATGGTCAAGAGATTTGCTCAGGCTGTAGTTAGAGGCAGAGCTGGCACTCATAGCTTGGTGTATTTGATCTCAATGGAAAGGCTTGATCATTGTCCTGTCCATCCACTGTCTTCCATCCCTAAAGCATCACATGGTACATGGTACATTCACACACACTCACTATTCCTCCCCCTCCAGTACCTCTTCTGGGTCCTTCAGCATGCTCTCAGGGTGCAGGACCAGAGGATGAGGAGAGCTCACTCTTATTTGTTGTGAGCTTCCAATTCCAAGAGAAAAGCTGTACGTATACCCAGACCATGAACAAAAATGCAAACTCTGCAGCATACCAATGGGTACAAACATTTGGTTCATGGCTATATTCCAAGGACTTGGCACACAGTAGGTGCTCAATAAATATTTGTTGCATGAATGAAATGAATCCCAGATGCACATTAGGTGCTGAGTAATGGAGCCATCAAAGCTTGATGTCCTAAGGGTGGGGGTGGGGGTGGGGTGGGGAGAGGTTCTTGGCTGGGGCCTGAAGGAAAGATGAAGTGAGTAGATGTGTCCTTTACCAAAGCAAACTCCTCAACCTGAGTGATGATGGGAGCGGAAGGGAAAGGCAGACAACAAGGGAAGAATTCTGAAGGCCACGGGCCAGAGTAGAGATGGGGTAGGGTTGAGGAAAGAGAAGTGGATGGAAGGTAGTTTTTAGAGGAAAGGAGGAAGAAAGATGCTTGCTTTTAGATTACTACTCTCCAGGGCCACTTGGAAGAAGGATGGAGACTGACTGGGGTGAGGAGAATGGCATGGAAGGGAGACTGGGGGAGACAGAGGGGAGAGGAGGGAAGAGGAGGACAGTGGAGGAAAAAGGTCAAGACCCATGGGAGAATAGTGGGGGGACACTCCACAGTGGAAGAGCAAAGGAGGTTCATGGGGGAAGGGGCACAGGTATAGCCCTACCTAAAGGGTAGGCTCCAGCTCTAAAGAAATGAGCCCTCATGGGGCAGGGACATGGGCTGGGGGAGGTGCAGGGGCTCAGCCTGGTAGGTGGGAATGGACCGCACCAAGGGTGGAGCTCCTGAGTCAGGCTTCCTCCTCTGCCAGATCCTCCACGACTGCCTTTGGCCCTCCCTCCTCTGGTGAGTTCTCATGGACAGTTGGTCACTGTCCCAGGCTGTCTTGGCTGAGGGGCAGAGCTCTGGCACAACCTCTTGGATACCTGCAAGCCTAGAGCTTTGGTATCTTCCAGACATAGAGTTCACAGGCTGCTTCCCAGTCTGCAGCCATGCAGCAGAATGACATGGGCCCTGCTTCAGAGGTCTGTCTCCACTGGCTCTCCATTGTCACAGCATCTCGTGATCTCTTCCTCTTCTGCAAGGGCCCTCAGATTGCCCCCACTGTCTACTCTCTGAAATACCTCCATGCACGTCTTTTAACCAACACTGTCCTGCTGCTTTATGAAGCCTGTCCTCACCCTTTCTAGGGATCCGTTCTTACCTTTCTCATCAAACTAACTGATTTCACACCGTCCCAGAATGGGCATTGTCAATAGGCATTGCGCTTCTGAGGATCTGATGGTATAGCTAAAAACAATATCTCTTCAGACTTCTGCCCTTTCTCATGAAGTTCTGAACTTATGCGCCTGTCTTCCCCATCACATCAGGAGTTCCGGAATCCATATTTCCTTCCTCCTCTTAGTGCTTTCCTCTCTCCTTGCAAACTTAAGATAGGGTTCAGCATATTGCATGGATACATCAACCACAAAATTCTTGAATCTAACAACAAGTTATTACCTTGTCTAACCCACCGTCCATCTTGGGGCATCTACTTTGCCACAACCTTCACAGGAGCAGGATGGACCAGAGGGAGTCTTGAACAAGAACTTCTCAATGTTAAAATTACCTGATTTACCCCTTATCTCCAGGCATCCCTTGAAACAAGATCTACTTGGGCTAAAAGAAGAGGCTCTGATCTCCAGATAAAAAGGTCTTTTGGTTCACCCTGTCTCCACAAACATCATGGCCACTCCAGAATAAAGAATGTTTCTCTTTTACGTAAATCTCCCTTAAATGGGAGACATAATGCAAGCTCCTTAGGAAGGCATGACTACTTGCCCTCCTTCTGGCAAGTTTTTCTTCAAATCCAACTTCCATCTGTCCAGCTACAGTGGAAGTCCTGCTCTTTTTAGAGTTCCATTATCCAATCTATATGGATAGATTGTCAGCCTCAACCCCATGATATCCCTGGGATACTCACCAATCAGGAGGTTTTGGATTTAGGCAATAAATAAATAAATTCACCATTCGGCAAGGTGAATGAGCATGTTATTGATTTGTGCTAAAGATTTATAATGGTCTGTTAAAGCCAAATAAGGAACACAAATTTATCAATTACAACAGATAACATATTTTTTGGACTGTCCAAGCTTTTCTTTTCACCCAGTAGTGTAGTTGCCTGCGGATTGGTGACACTTTCCCTTTGCCTAAGAAGAGAGCTTCCCTGGGGTAGTTGGGCTTGAGGATGGACCTTTGATTTTGGGTTCTTTTTAAGGATAAAGGAAAGGTCTCCAGGTTTACTTGCCCCTAAGATTAACCCCATGGTAGAATAAGAGTTGATAACATTTATTGAGCACTTGCTATGTGCCAGCTGTTGTGATGAGAATTATCCATGTATTTTTAAATTTAATCTGTCTATTCCGCCTGCAATGTGGGAGACCTGGGTTTGATCCCTGGGTTGGGAAGATCCTCTGGAGAAGGGAAAGGCTACCTACTCCAGTATTCTGGTCTAGAGAATTCCATGGACTATATAGGCCATGGAGTCACAAAGAGTAGGCCACAGCTGAGCGACTTTCACTTCATTTCACTTCATTATTCCTTTAAGATGGGCATCATTAGTGGGTATTTTACATATGTGGTTTAGTAATGTGGGTAGGTGTATTCCATCAAACCTGCTGATATATCCACAGCAGCAGCAGTAGCAACAACAACAAAAATAATAACACATATCTCTATCTCCCCATCAAACCTGACATTATAACTGCAGCAGCAGCGACACCTACCACTAATATGATTACATCCTTATGAGTGTGTCAGGCTCTATTTTAACTGCTTGACTTGGATTAATTCTTTTAATCCTTATAAAAACTTTTTTTATGTAGGTAGCATTACCCCTATTTTACAAATCATGAAATGAGATAGGGAGAGGTGAAGAAATTGCCTAAATTTACATAGCTAGAAACTGGCAGAGGTGGACTTTGAAACTAGGCAGTTTGGACTCTGGGTCTGTGTTCTTAACTGATAAGCCATGTATTTAAACTTTTTAGTTTCAGTTATAGTAAGAAATAATTTTGCATAGTCATTAAGTGCACACATATGTACATATCACATACTATTGAAATAAAAGACCCTGAATTGTTTTTATTATGTATGCTACACTCTGATATTTTCTACTATATTCTACTCTCCTTGATTTTGTCCTAACCTGTTTCATTAAAATTCTGGTTGCTTCTCTTTGTGGGTCATGATGTGAACTCAGAAAATGCAGTCCCAGAGCCTCTTGCTTCTTAGTGATTACAACAAAGCACATCTCACAGTGCTCTGGAGTTTACTGAGTGCATGCACATCTCTGTAATTCTCCAAGGCAGCCCTGGGAAGAATTTGCTTAATCCATTTCCCAGAGGAGTGTACTACCCTGCCCCCCTAGATCACACAGGGCTAGTCATGGAAGAGCCCTGGTTCCTACCCAGCCTTTTAGTGTTCAAGGACCAATCTAACTATGTTGGATGGATGGCACACAACAATATGGGTTTGTTCTGACAATATGGATTAGCATCTTCCAATGCTATTGACAAATTGCTGTAAAGGGAAGGATGTTGCAGGGTTGTTAGAACATGGAAAGCAATATAGGCTCAGGGGAGTGATGGCAGGGGGCTGGATGCTCCCCCTTGTATGGCTCTATCTGGAAGATTCTCCTGTATTCTGAGCCAAAAGCTGTAAAGACTTATAATAGCCATGTCTACCCCAGTCCTTCTGGGCCCTGGAGAAATCATGGAGCCTGGAGGTGAAATCTAGACAGGTTATTGTTGCCTGGGGCCTTGTTGGGAATGGCTGGGCATTCTGGAGACCACTGAGCCAAGGTGTGCTCCCTTAGGCCTCATGGAAGGCTCTGTGGGAGGGCGTGCCTCCTTTCAGCGTAGGCTGAAAAATAAGGTCTAAGAAGTGGATTTGTCACTGTGCAAGTGGAGGTAGGTGTGTGTGTGTATGAGCACGTGTGAGTATCTGTGAGATTGTTGATGGGAAGTCCAGCATGTGAGTTCGCAGTATGTATGTTTGTGTCTGTGAGAGAGAGAGACAGAGACAGAGAGAGAGAGTCGAGATACAGAGAGTTGGCTGATGGGTGCAGGTGAGGAATTTGGGAGTAGGTGTGTGAGGCTTTGGTGCTGTAAAAACAGCCATCCCTGTAAGGGAAATCACGAAGCGATCTTAAGTTCCCCATCTGTTGATCTTAACGCTCTCCCAGTGTTGCAGTGCCGATGTGATCAGCACCACGGACAGCGGCATGAGCACATCAAATGGGTGGTACGCAAAAGCCGCAGCCCCGCCTTCCCCCGCACTCCTTTCCAACGTGAGTCACCGCTCCCCTATCCTCAAAAACCTTTCGCCAAGTGTGTATGAGGAGGTTGGGGTGGGGTGAGGAGAGGTGAGCTGGCCCTTTGAGGACAAAAATTGTGCAGTTTAGGGTAAAAGGCCATAAACATCTGGCCGCATCTGGCACGCAATTAAGCACATTAAGGAAAGAGCAACAGCAGCTAAACAACCCAAGCCCATAAACATGTCTAATTGCTCCTAACACGTGGATACATCAGGCTCCTCACATATATAAAAGGCCCAATGATGTTCAAGAAGTGAACACCTCGTCCACTAGCCCTCCATTAGGACATCTGCCTCCTGAGAGCCTCCCGTGCCCCAAAGAAGCACCATGACTTGTGGATCTTACCGTCCTCTCCCAGCATTCAGCTGTGTCTCCGCCTGCGGACCTCGGCCCGGCCGCTGCTGCATCACGGCCGCCCCCTACCGCGGCATCTCCTGCTACCGCGGCCTCACTGGGGGCTTTGGCAGCCGCAGTGTCTGTGGGGGCTTCCGTACTGGCTCCTTTGGCCGCAGCTTCGGGTACCGCTCCGGCGGCGTGGGCGGCCTCAGCCCTCCCTGCATCACCACCGTGTCCGTCAATGAGAGCCTCCTCACGCCCCTCAACCTGGAGATCGACCCTAATGCGCAGTGCGTGAAGCAAGAGGAGAAGGAGCAGATCAAGTGTCTCAACAACAGGTTTGCTGCCTTCATCGACAAGGTGAGTTTCCTTGATCAGACCCTTCCTGAACCTTCCCTTCCTGGGTAGGCAGTGAAGGGGTAGTCAAGGGCAGTAGAGATGTGGTCCCTTCAGGTCCCAGTCTGATTGATGAAATGGGCACACATTCAGGGCACAAACAGACCAGAGAGATGAGTCTAGAGCAGGGGCTCCTGAATAGAGCACTATTATATACAACCTCTGTCTAGACAGGCAGGGTGCCCACAGACCAGGACAAGGTTTTGGAACCACATGTCAGAGAAGAAAGCATACATGCAAACAAGACTCAAGAAATGCACATAAGATATAGGAATAGGATCACAGTTCAGCCTTCAAGTATTTGTCCTTGATCACACCTGTTCTGAAACCCCCCATGCCCAAGTCCCTGCTGGGCATCTGGAGCAGCAGAACAAGCTGCTGGAGACCAAGCTGCAGTTCTACCAGAACCGCCAGTGCTGCGAGAGCAACCTCGAGCCCCTGTTCAATGGCTACATCGAGACGCTGAGGCGGGAGGCCGAGTGCGCAGAGGCCGACAGCGGGAGGCTGTCGTCAGAGCTCAACAGCCTGCAGGAGGTGCTGGAGGGCTACAAGAAGAGGTGAGTGTGGCTGAGGGTGATGTTGGGCACAGGAAATGGACATGGATTCAACCCACTGGATGAAATTGGAAAAGAACTTCAAAGAAGGGGGTGTGACCATGCAGGGCAAGCTGGTGGTATGCAGCAGGATCTTCCCATCAGGCAGTCGTTGCTCAGATGCCTATGAGGAGGGCCATGATTCTCTAGGAAGTCTCTCTCCCCTCCTTCAGGCTTCTCTTCTCAAAGCCTGATCACCCAGCAACAGTGCTCTGTGCTCTGTGGGGAGGAGGCATCTGCATTCTCCCAGGCCTGGCCCCTGAGGCTCCCACCTGTAGCACCTGGATGTGATATGAGTCTCAATGTCTCTCAGGGCTGCCAGGTCCTGGGTCTCTGGGTGTCCCACTGTCTAGGTTGCTCTAGTGCTGATAGCCTCTGAGATTCATAGGTCCTCCCCCAGCTGAGCTAGGTTGGACACCCAGGTGGGGGGTGGCTGGGACTGCAGTGCCCCAGAGGGGCTGCTGTCCACTCCAGACTGGTGCTGAGTCCTTATTTTCCTCTAGAGGTGACCTCAGAGCAGTTTGGGCAGCAGGGTTGTGAGGTTCCAGAAGAGTCACCCCCAGGATCCCTCAATTCCAAGTGGAGAGAGAATCACAGACACACCCCAAGTCCAACCAGAGAGGACCCAGCAGGGCTGCTAGGGATCTGGCTATGTGGGGAGGTCCCTAGTGTTGTCCCCTTCACTGGTAAAATGCGGAGGGGGTTCTGGGGAGACCTGCTCTGCCATGATTCCCCTCTCTGCCCTCTTCCTCAGGTACGAGGAGGAAGTTGCTCTGAGAGCAACAGCCGAGAATGAGTTTGTGGCTCTGAAGAAGGTGAGTAACATGGGATCAGGAAGCAGAGCCATGAAGGATCTCCCAGAATGACAGGCTTTCATTGTGGAAAACAATGGTCTCATCCTCTGTGGGGAGCAGTGACTTTGCCAAGTCAGGATGAGAAATTCCCATAGACCAGGTCATGAAATGCACATCCAAGGCTTTGAAAAGGGCAGTAACCTTGGACAATCCACTAACAACTTGCCCTGAAGCAGGGGTATAGCTGAATTGACCTCTGGATGTTCTGTGGTCTCAGAATTAGTAGTCTGTGGCTGGGTTCCCATGGAGGCATGGTAGCTTCCGTCTCTCAGTTGAGGGATGGTGTCCTGTCTAGTGTTTCAGGAGTCTGGTTAAGAGGAGGGGCACAGTCCCAGGATCTGGGAGAGGATGGAGCAGAGCCAACAGTGGCCAGGTGGAGTCTTGGAGGACTATAGGGAAACAGGGAAAGGTCAAGGTGGTTAAGCAAGGGAGCCAGTCTGGCAGGCTTTTTGGTACAGGGAAGGGGAAAAGGAGAGCTGGAAAGTGAGAGGTCTCAGGTAGGAAGGGTGAAAGGCTGGTGGTTCATCTCCAAGGCACAAGGCATTTGTTCTTAGAAGGGGAGGAGGTTGTGAGATGCCTCCAGGGAAGGGCAGCATGGAGATAAGACAGGAAGAGGAACACGGAATCCTTTCTCCCTCACCTCCATGTACTGTGTGAGGAGAGAGAGGAATTCAGGTGATGATCACCAGGGGTCCTCTTTGCTCAAAGACTCCCCATCTTCCCAGGATGTGGACTGTGCCTACCTCCGCAAATCAGACCTTGAGGCCAATGTGGAGGCCCTGATTCAGGAGACTGACTTCCTTCGGCGACTATATGAGGAGGTGAGTGATTGTGGTCCAGGCAGAAAGCAGCAGCTGGCCTGGAAGAGAGGGCACTGATCTGTGATCAGAGTTGGACAGGGATTTGGGCAGGAGCTACAGTCCATGAGGCTGTCAGAGGGGGCCAGGGCTGGAGACCAGAAAGGGCTGAGAAGGCTGGTACATGCTGTGGTGAGGGAAGCAAAGGTGTAAACAAGACCCTTCCATCCTCCTGCCCCACCATCTGCAGGAGATCAGAGTTCTCCAAGCCCACATCTCAGACACCTCGGTCATCGTCAAGATGGACAACAGCCGGGACCTGAACATGGACAACATTGTGGCTGAGATCAAGGCTCACTATGATGACATTGCCAGCCGCAGCCGGGCCGAGGCTGAGAGCTGGTACCGCAGCAAGGTGAGTGGTCCAGGACACATGCGTTCTAGACAAGATGGAAGGGATGTGAGGTATACATTAACAAGGCTTCTTTTGTCTGGCAATTTGGATTTCCAGAGATGGTAACAGAAGGGCAGACAGTTCTCATGTTACAGTGGAAGGACAGGGCTGCCATATATGGTTTCACAGGCTGTGCACTGGATATCTGTGGTGTCCTGAGTGGGTGGAATGTCCTGTCCTGAGCTTTACAAGCCTCTCTGCTTCCCACCAGTGTGAGGAGATCAAGGCTACGGTGATCCGACATGGGGAGACCCTGCGCCGCACCAAGGAGGAGATCAATGAGCTGAACCGTGTGATCCAGAGGCTGACGGCTGAGGTCGAGAATGCCAAGTGCCAGGTAGGAGCTGTTTGAGGCCCACCCAGGGTCCCACAGGCAGTGTGTGTGCCCAACTGGATCTCACCATTCACTCTCCAGTCCATTTGCATGACTTGAGACCAAGGCTGTGGTCACTCTGGGTGATCTAGGTGATGAAGGGGAGAGATTCCTGTTGTGTGGAGAGACCATAACCCACCTTGTTCTCTCCTGGGCCCTTAGAACTCCAAGCTGGAGGCTGCAGTGACCCAGGCAGAGCAGCAGGGCGAGGCAGCCCTCACTGATGCCAAGTGCAAGCTGGCTGGGCTGGAGGAGGCCCTGCAGAAGGCCAAGCAGGACATGGCCTGCCTGCTCAAGGAGTACCAGGAGGTGATGAACTCCAAGCTGGGCCTGGACATTGAGATCGCCACCTACAGGCGCCTGCTGGAGGGCGAGGAGCAGAGGTGGGTACTGTAGCCAAATTTCTCTCCCAGCCCTGCCTGGGTTCTCATCATGCAGTGTCCCTGACTTTCCTACTTGACAAAGCTCCCCATCCTGCAACTGGACAGGTAATTTGAGTAATTTCTTTAGGTATGTTTCTAGCCCCATTTCAGTTTCTCATGCCTACTTAGGTGCTGATCTGGGATTGACGCCTTTGCAAATCTGTTTCTCAGAGCCCAGAGTCAAGGTCAATTGCTGTTCCTGAGTAGCCCTGTTTGGGCTGGGTCGCCTTCCCTCAGTAGTGCTTCTTCTCTCCTGGCCCTCACTGCATGTGCCCCTCAGGGTTCCAACTCTCTTCTCAAGCTTGGCCTTGGCTCCAGCCCTGGGAGTTCAGATTTCCTCCCAAATGACAGCTTCAATAGAGGATTTTATCAACACACACTTATATATTCTAACTACATAGTGCCTTTGCCTAAGTGTTTGTTCATTGCAGCAAGTGAAATTAAGGGTAGACAGATAACAGGGGCTGGTCCGTTGAAGCAGCTGTAGCCTGCTCTGGGCATTTTTACTTGTCGCTTCTTTTGAGGGCAAAGGGAGACCCACTGGTCACCAGCCATCTATGTTCAGGTTGAAGGCAGCTGAACTGCTTCTGTGAGGACAACAGTCACAGGCTGTGCCCTTTGGTTCTTTCCCCTGGAAACAGAAAGACCCATCCCTCTGTCCCAAAACACTCTTGGAATGAACTCAGAAGCTTTGCTGTGGATTCCCTAGGAAACCTGGGCCTGGGAAGGTAGATTGTGAGCTGCAGACTCTCCTCGTTTCTGAAGCTGATTAAGATAACCCTTTGCTTTGGTCTCTCAGAGGGACTCTGTTTTCCTTAAGGAGACAGCATCGCGTGGGAAGGAAACCCAGGCTGGATGGAGTTAGGTGGCCGGAGTGGCACTGGTTATTTCCTCTTTCTGGGCCTCCGTTTATCCATTTGTTAAGTGAGGGACTAGATGTAGCTAATCTCTGAGTCTGCTCTCAATGTGTTCTAACATCCCATTCATTCATGCAAGTTATTTATTGAGCCAAGCATCATCTGGGGGCACTGTCGATTCTGCAGCGGGAAAAAGGATACACAAAAAAATTCTGTCCTCCTGAAGCCCATGTTTTAGTGATACCAGTCAGACCAGATTCAGGAATTTAAATCTGCTGCTGCTCAGATACATTTACAAGTCAATCAGAACGGAAAGAAATAGTAGGAGCTACCATTCCCTAAGCACTACCATTCCTGATGGCAGAAATCAGGCACTTACAGGCTTAGTTTGAGTTCATCCTCACAAAGTTCAGGGAGTAGATTTTCCCCAGGAGGCTGGCTGTGTGTGTGCTAAGTTGCTTCAGTCGTGTCCAACTCTTTGCGACCCAATGGACTGTGGCCTGCCAATGGACGGTAGCCTGCCAGGTTTCTCTGCCCATGGGATTCTCCAGGCAAGAATACTGGAGTAGGTGGCCATGCCCTCCTCCAGGGCATCCTCCTGACTTAGGGATGGAACCCGCATCTCTTTTGTCTCTTGCATTGGCAGGCGGGTACTTTACTACTAGCGCCACCTGGGAAGCCCCCAAATCCGAGGTTGCTCAGCTAATAAGGGCTAGAGAGCCAGGCGATCTGTCTCTAGAAACTATACATTGACCCGGGGCTACCGCTTAATGGCGCCTTTCCCGGGCCAGTGCTCAGAATGAGGGCCTCACCTTTCACCTTGGCTGTGTGGACCAGCGGCTTTTCAGGGCACTGACCTTTCTCTTTTCCTTTCCCCGCAGGTTGTGCGAGGGCGTCGGGGCTGTGAATGTCTGTAAGTAGCCCGCCCCTCCCCATTCTCCAGCCGGGTGGTCACAATGCCTTTAGGGAGGGGGCATTTTTGCCGCCCCACGCCGCCTGGCTGGGGCAGTGTCTGACCAGCGTCTCTGCCTGTTCTTCCCCCATTCAGGCGTCAGCAGCTCCCGCGGTGGCGTCGTCTGTGGCGATCTCTGCGCCTCCGGTGCTGCCCCTGCTGTCAACACCAGCGTCTGCAGCGCCCCCTGCAGCGGCAACGTGGTGGTGGGCACCTCCGACGCCTGCGGCCCCTGCTCTAGGGTGGGCGGCAGCATCCTGGGCTGTAAGAAGTGCTAAGGTCGCCTTCGGGCCCAGCCAGGACCTCGTGCCATCGAAACGCCCCTTCCGTTGCATCCCCCGCCCCCGGGCCGCTCGCTGGCCAGAACCGTCTGCCCTCCCCACTCCTTCTCTGCTCCCTCTGCGTGCCATCCGCCAGGCACCTGAGCCCCGGGGAGGCTGGGGCGCACCCTGACCTCTTTCTGTAGCATTTCCTAGTAGTCGTTTTGCTGTCTTGAGGATTCATGCCTTCTTCTGCCTTCTGTGTTTTGCTGGATTCATTGGTCCTGCCTGATCCCCTTCACCGAATCTTGGAGGAAAGCGGGACAGGCCCTGGAATCTCCCGATCTGCACAACCTGGGGAATCTGCGAGTGTGCTGGTACCTGTAGCATGGACATGGGGAACGCTGATGGTGGTTTTCCTGTAACTCTTTGAGGGCCGTGCCCTGTGGGAGGGGAGGCCATCACCTTTCAAGGATGCCCGCAGAGGCTTCTACAAAGCCAATGAGTCAACTGCCTGCAAGCTCTTGTCTTTGTTTCACTCTTTGTTTCCAATAAACTAATTGTGGCTAATCAGACCTGGGTGCCTCAGAGTCTCATAAATGCCAGGGCCTTCCTGAGATAGGTGCTCCCTGCCAGAGATGTCCTCAGGACCTCTCATGTACTCAGTAATTTTTTGTTAGGTGAAAATGACGTAGTAGAAGCTGCCTGTCTGGGCTTAAGCAACTGGAGCCTTGAGAAAACAAGAGAAGACCCATGGAGATGGGGAATCCCTCCTTGCCTTGTGTGGTCATGGGTTTCTCTAGACCAAGGATTCTCGACTTCAATGCTACTGACATTCTGGGCTGGTGACTTCCTTATTGGGGGACAAGTATCCTGTGCATTGTAGGATCAGTGATTTGCTCACAGTCACTCAACTAGTAAATGACTGAATCAACAGGTTTAACCAACTCTTTAGAACATGATTTTACTTAGGGAGCCAGAAGGGCAATAGTCAGCTGAAACCGCCCTATCATCCGATAGGTATCATTATTCTACTTTACAGGTGAAGAAGCTAAAATGTAGTGAGGATCAGTGACTTGCCCACCAGCCTCTACCCATTGCATGGCAGTAGTAATCACCCTCCCCCATTTGTGGCAAACAAAGATGTCCCTACACATGGCCAGATGTGCCCTGTGGCTTTCAACAAGTGTGATCCTCCTGTCTACCCTGCCAAGGACATTCCTGGGGGGAAAAGTACATGGGTGAGGGTAAGAATGAAAGGAAGGCATGAGGGACAACAGTGCGAGGGAGAGGAAGAGCTTCAGGTTGAGGGTCAGGAGAACCAGGCTTCTAATTCAGAGTTCTGACTCTGCCATTTCCTAACTGGGTGACTTTGGGCAAGTCGCTTCTGCCCTCTGAGCTTCAACTTCTTTGGCTGTAGAATGAGGGATGGTGGACACTATTCCTAAGGCTCCTTTTGGCTCCCTAAGTGAGACAGTGTATTTAAAAGAGTTTGGTTAATACAAGCCTATGTTTGAATATTGGTTCAGCCATTTTCTAGTTCTGTAATTGTGGGCAAGACACTGATTGTCACTGAGCTTTATAGTTTATTCATCTGTGAAATGGAATAATGACACCTACTGGGTTGTAGGGAGGTTTCAGGTATCTATTGCACATAACATACCAGTCCAAAATTTAGAGGCTTGAACCATAATGCTTTATTTTTTCTCATGATTCAATAGGCTTACTGGGCAGTTCTACTTTATGTTTCTTGGGATGCTAGGATGTCTGGAAGGTCCAAAATGGCCTCATTTCACATAACTGGATTTGGTGCTGGATACCATGGACAGAGGAGTTTGGCAGGCTACAGTCCATGGGGTCACAAAGAGTCAGACATGACTGAGTGACTAAGAACACACACTAGCTAGGTGTTGAGCTGGAGCTGTTGGCCAGGACATGTCAGTCAGGAGACAATCATTTGAAGACATGAAGTTTAACAAAAAGAATTATTAACTGTAATAGGTGATTGAGTCATGAGAGTTTGGCTAGTAAGAAGCAAGAAATCTAAAGCATACAGGGGCTGCAGTTTAGGACCAGCCCCTACCTCTAGGCCTAAGGGAGCACACCCAAGGAAGTGGACCCCGTTGCCAAGATCTGGACCTCAGAGCCAGGGAAAACTAGGGAGACCTGTTCATGAAGACATGTCTCCACCTCAAAACCACCCGAGAGGGATACTGGAAACTGCCGGCCACAGTATACTGCTGACCACTGTGTGCTGCAGCAGTAAAGATATGGCAACACAGGGGAAGTTCCGGAGAAACTGCGGGTGCTGCAGGAATCTGCCAGGAGGAACCTGGAGCCAGGAAGGAAAGCCCCTTCCTCTTGCGCTCTCTCTCCATCACCCTCTACTGACAAAGCTCAATCTTGTTCCAGTAAACAAAGGAAAGTACTTAAAGGGCCCCTCTAAATTTTCACAGAGCAGGCCATGACAGGTGAATCTGGAGCTGAGAGACAGTGCATTGATAACTGGAGCCCAGGGACTTGGTTCTTCTCCCTAGGAGCCTTTCTCATATAGCTGCTTGGTGGCTGGTTTCCAAGAAGGAAGGTAGGGAGCAGAAGCAGACAGGCCTCTTTAGGCTTGAGCTCACTTCCACCATTTTCTACTGGCCAGAGCCGTCACAGGGCCAGCTTAGATTCAAGGGGAGGAGAAACAGGCTCCACCTTGTGTTGGCTTATATGTGAAGAGAAGATCAGAATGATCAAGTCTTCTTGTGGAGACTAGATCCCACAGTGTGCCCTCTGGTCACAACAATTCATGTCCCTTCCACAAACATGTGCTAACTCCTCCAAAGATCCCCCCGAAATTTCATCAGCTGGAAATTTAGGATCTCACTGGTTGGATTAGACCCATTAACACATGAGACTCTTGGTATATAGTTCTTTTGTTGTAGCTCCTCCATTATTATGTACCTCAGGCTGAAGTCTTGTGAGTTAAATGGCAATTATTTATGTCCACCACACCTATCATGCAATCATCATTGCATTCAGTTATTACAGAATTCTCCCTAAGTCCCTGGGAAGGAGGTGTTACAATCCCAGAGCAGAGTCCAGAGTTACTTCTCCAAAAGGTCAGAACTTATAGCCTCTGGGGGAGGATAACCACAGGATTCTGCACTTCTGTTTAGAAAGAGGAAAAATTTAACACACTGAGAAGTCCCTGATTCATAACAGTTCTAAGTACAGTCAGGCGCCCACTGCTAATTCCTCCTGTTGCAGAGACTGGGAGTGTATCTGATTAGTGCCTGGTTTTGCTCCCTGGAATTTGTTCTCCTCTGCCCTTGTCTCTATCCTTTGGAATCTTGGCTTCACCTTCTGTATCATCCTTTCTTTTCCATGATAAACAGCCCATGTGTTCTTAGCCTGCTTCTTGTCTGTAGGAGGTTAGGAGCCCAGAGGCCTCTTCACTTTGAATGGTTTCTCTTCCTTGTAGTTAGATCTGCTATAATTCTTTTAAAAATTTTGTAAGGTGTGAGGTGGGGCTCAGGGCCTCAGGACATGCAGCTTTTACAGAAGTCGAGTGTACAATGTCAGTCCTGCTTGGTCCCTTGAGTTGGTAGGTGGAAGGCAGGTGCATCACCTCCAGAGGCATGGGGTGTCCCTGGACTCCCCCAGGTGCCACCTGGACAACCTCCCAAGGTTATTACAGAATTCTCCCTAAGTACCTGGGAAGGGGGTGTTACAATCCCAGACCAGAGTCCGGAGTCACTTCCCCAAAAGGTCAGAACTGAAAAGGCCCTTGTAGAGCCTCTGGGCAGGCCTCAATTTTTTAATATTGATTTTCATGGCAGCATAGTTGTTTCACAATGTTGTATTAACTTCCAGTGCAGAGGAAAATGAATCAGCCATACATAATACATACATGTATGTTGTCCCTTTTAGATTTCCCTCCCTTTTAGGACATCATAATGCGAGAAGTGGAGTTCCTTGTGCTGTACAGTATGTTCCCATCTGTTGTCTGTTTTATGCATAGTATCAATAGTGTATATGTGTCAATCCAATCTCTCAATTCCTCTCATCCAGCCCCTTTCCCCCTTGGAAGCCATTCAATTATTGTCTACATCTGTGCCTCTATTTCTGCTTTGCAAATAAGATTATCTATACCACTCGTCTAGAGTCCAAATGTATGCATTCAGTTTCAGTTCAGTAACTCAGTCATGTCTGACTCTTTATGACCCCATGAACGGCAACATGCCAGGCCTCCCTGTCCATCACCAACCCCTGGAGTTTACCCAAACTCATGTCCATTGAGTCGGTGATGCCATCCAACCATCTCACCCTCTGTCGTCCCCTTCTCCTCCTACCCTCAATCTTTCCCAGCATCAGGGTCTTTTCAAATGAGTCAACTCTTCACATCAGGTGGCCAAAGTACTGGAGTTTCAGCTTCAACATCAGTCCTTCCAATGAACACCCAGGACTGATCTCCTTTAGNAAAGAGCCTCTTGATGAAAGTGAAAGAGGAGAGTGAAAAAGCTGGCTTAAAACTCAACATTCAGAAAACTAAAATCATGGCATCTGGTCCCATCACTTCATGGCAAATAGATGGGGAAACAACGGAAACAGTGACAGACTTTATTTTGGGGGTCTCCAAAAATCACTGCAGATGGTGACTGCAGCCATGAAATTAAAACACTTGCTCCTCAGAAGAAAAGTTATGACCAACCTAGACAGCAAATTAAAAAACAGAGACATTACTTTGCCAACAAAGGTCCATCCAGTCAAAGCTATGGTTTTTCCAGTAGTCATGTATGGATGTGAGAGTTGGGCCATAAAGAAATCTGAGCACCGAAGAATTGATGCTTTTGAACTGTGGTGTTGGAGAAGACTCTTGAGAGCCCCTTGGACTGCAAGGAGATCAAACCAGTCAATCCAAAAGGAATTCAGTCCTAAATATTCATTGGAAGGACTGGTGCTGAAGTTGAAGCTCTTATACTTTGGCCACCTGATGCGAAGAACCGATTCATTGAAAAGACCCTGATGCTGGGGAAGATTGAAGGCAGGAGTAGAAGGGGAAGAGAGAGGACGAGATAGTTGGATGGCATTACTGACTCGATAGACATGAGTTTGAACAAGCTCTGGGAGTTGGTGATGGACAGGGAGGCCTGGCATGCTGCAGTCCATGGGGTTGCAAAGAGTCAGATATGACTGAGAGACTGAGCTGAAAGGCCCCTCCATGCCTCTAGAAATGACCCAATTTTCTTCTTTTTTATGGCTGAGTAATATTCCATGATATATTTGTACCATATCTTCATCCATTTCTCTGTTGGTGGACATTTAGGTCATTTCCACGTTCTGGCTATTATAGTGCTGCTATGAATACTGAGGTGCATGTGTCATTTTGAGTTACTGTTTTCTCTGGGTATATGCCCAGTAGTGGGATTGCTAGGTCATATGGTAGTTCTATTTTTAATTTTGTTAAGGAGCCTCCATATTGTTTTCTATAGTGTCTGTATCAACTTACATTCAACCAACAGTGTAGGAGGCTTCCCTTTTCTCTACCTCCTGTCCACCATTTATTGTTTGTAGATTTTTTTTTTTGTAGATTTTTTAATGATGGCCTTTCTGATCCATTTGAGGTGATACCTCATTGCAGTTTCGATTTGCATTTCTCTAAGGATTAGTAGTGTTGAGCATCTTTCCATGTGTTTTTGTTGGCCATCTGTATGTCTTCTTTGGGGAAATGTCTATATAGTTCTTCCACCCATTTTTTGATTGGGTTGTCTATTTTTTTTTTCTTAAATATTTAACTGCATGGGCTGCTTGTAGGTTTTGGAGATTAATTCTTTGTTAGTACTTCATCTGCAAATATTTTCTCCTATTCTGAGGGTTGGTTTTTCATTTTGCTTATGGTATCCTTTGCTGTGTAAAAGTCAGCTCTCATTTAAAAGGTGTTCAGGGCTCCCAAGTCGGAGTAGGGGAGTGACGAGAGACACTGAGAGATGGGTCACAGCCAGATACACAGGACTGGCATGTCATGGTCAAGAGTCTTGACTTCATCCACTGAAAGGTCAGACTTGTGTTTTGGAAAGCTGTCTCTGGCTGCTGCAGTGTAGATTGGAAGGGGAGGCCAGCAGGTCTCCAATCAAGATGGTGGTGGCCGAAATGTGGATGGTAGCAGTAGCAGAGAGAGGAAAAAGATGGATGAGAGGAATATTTAGGAGGTAGAAAGGGGAGCACTTAGGGGTTATTTGGTTTTGAAGGGGAGAGTTCAGGCCTGGACAGATCATAGAGGCTCAGATTTGGGCAACTGTGATGATGATCTTGACAGGTGAGGCAGGAGGAGACCCTAGTGGAGGGANTATTTAGGAGGTAGAAAGGGGAGCACTTAGGGGTTATTTGGTTTTGAAGGGGAGAGTTCAGGCCTGGACAGATCATAGAGGCTCAGATTTGGGCAACTGTGATGATGATCTTGACAGGTGAGGCAGGAGGAGACCCTAGTGGAGGGAATGATGAGTAGTGAGTTCAGCTGGAAGATCTGTTGGGTTGGAAGAGTCTCCAGGACAGCCAAGTGGAGAGGTCTTAGAGGAACTGGGGTGAGTGGTTCTGAAGCCACGGAGTGAGGTCAGGGCAGGGGAGAGCCACAGGGACTCAGGCTGGAGGATTTGAACCAGGGAGGATGTTAACCGTGGTGGGAACGGAAGGCAAGGAGTGGAAGTAACTGTCCAGGGAGGGTGCTCGGAGTGGTGAGGGAAGGGCCCTGAGGCATTTTCACGCTGGAGGGTGAGTTTGTCTTGGTGAGGGAAGTGAGCCAAGGAAGAGCTGAGAGCCTGGCCTGCAGAGCAAGGAAGTGAAAGGCCAGAGACTCAGGGTTCAAGAGAGGGGAAGGGGGTGAGGGCGACGGAGAGCAGAAGGACTTGGGTGAGGAGCCAAATGAACCCTAGACTCTAGGAGGGAGTGAAGGAAGGTTCTGGGTCCTCCCGAGACAGTGTGGTGAGCTGGGTAGAAAGGTCAGGGCCTGAGGATGGACCAGCGCTGGGCTCTGGGATAAGGCAGGGCAAAGACAGACAAGGAGCGGGCCAGTGGGAGGGAAATGGGCAACACGGGAGAGGGGTTACTACAGGTCTGATACTTCCAGAATGGGGCTGGGGCTCCTCAAAGTCTTCCTCCTAAGACCTCCCAGACACTTCCTGAACAGAGGACATGCAAGGTCAGGCCACACAGGGGGCAGGGGAGCCATCTTAGCCTCCGAATTGAAGGTATATGGGGGTGAGGGCAGTGAGTGGGGCGGTTGGGAGAGTCAGCAGACAGAATCCTCTTACCAGCTATGGGGCGTTGCTGGGAGGCTGTTCCAGGTGCTGAGGAGGGGTGTGTATGGGGGAGGGGCCAGTGTCAAGGGTCTCATCTCCCCTTGTTTGATGGACAGCAATGGGGATGAGGCGGGGTGGGGTCTGGGCTGACACAGAGTGGCCCCCTGAGGTGGCTGTTGGCCCTTGTGACAGTTACTGCTGTGGTGCATTGTGTGCTGGAGGTGGGAGAGCAGAATGAAGGTGTGCCCAGAAAGCACGGTGGGTGGGAAGGGGGCTAAAATGTGCACGGAAGTGCAGATACACACACGAACACATACCTACACAGCCTTCCAGCGGATTCCCGTGCCCTCCCTTGGGTCCCTTCAAAACCAGTCGGAGGAATAAGTCCCCCGCTACCCCAGACCCAGGGGTGAGACTGAGGAGGAAGGTCAGCACTGCCTGGCCAGGGGGAGGCCGGCAGAGTTCGGGGACAGGCCCTGCAGGAGCAGGCTGAGGGCAGGCCAGAAGCACTCCAGTCCTCATCCTTCTCCCCGGGCTGGGGTGCTCACCCGTCGGTGGGTGGGGCTCACTCCCAGAAAGCCAGACATCACAGCACAGAAAGCGGGTCCCTCGGTTTATTGGAGAAAAGGGGGGTGGGGGGGGGAGGGGACAAGAGGCCAGAGAGTCAGGGCACATGGGAAGGAGCGCTCTTCTTCCTGGGCGAGGCCAGAGGCCAAGACAGCGGAAGGGAGGAGTCCCTCCCCAGGCGGCATCCCCTTCCGGTGCGGCAAGAGGAGCAGAGCAGAGGCTGATGGGAAGGAGGGCGTGGTGTATTCTCAGAACACGAGGGGGACAGCTACCGAGGCGCTGCTCTTCTCAGCCGAGGGGCCTCTCTGGCTCGCCCTGGGGGGCCGCCTAGCACCTCCCCAGGCTGCAGGAACCCCCTCCGCAGGTGGTGTTGAGCTGGCCGCAGGGCGCGCACAGGCCGGTGCTCACCGCCAGGTTCCCGCTGCAGGGGGCGCTGCAGACGCTGCCGGTCACCGGCCGGGAGCCCGACACGCAGAGGTCCCCGCAGACGACCCCGCCGCGGGAGCTGCTGACACCTGCGGGGACAAGGACGGTGTCAGGAGGCCTGCTAGTGGCCACCGCATCTGGCCACCTTCCTCTGGCCTCTCTTAAATGTTCAACCCTCCCAGGAAGGACACAAAGCGCCTTCAGTTGGTGTTCTGAAGGTGTGGACAGAAACTTGGCCTGCAAGTCAGGAGCCCTGGCTTCTGGCCCTGGATCTCCTTTGTGACCTTGGACAAGTCCCTTCCTTGCTCTGGGCCTTCGTGTCCTCACTATACAAGGTGAGGGTTGTACCGTGTGACATCTGAGGTCCCTTCCTGCAGTGATCTTTTTCCAATCTCATTCATGCTGTTAGGTTCTTCCTGTTAGCTAACCTCAGTCTCACCTACTGTATGACCAACCTACTCCCATTTACTGAGGGAATTACTTGAAATACTCCTGGTATCTCTATACACTCATAGCCAGGAAACTCTTGTTGCCCAAGCTAGAATTTTCCTTTTCATGTCTCAGAATACTTACAGACATTCACAGCTCCAACGCCTTCACACAGCCTGAGTAGGGAAAAGGTGAAAAAGGGAAAGAGAAAACAGGTTAGAATAAGATCTCCAAGTTTCCTCTGGGTGCTGTGGGATGGGTCAAATGGGCTATTTCTGGCCTATATTTATGCCCTTGTGTTAACTTTTAGAAAGTGATGTTCTGGCAGTTGCAGCAATGCCAGGGCACACTATTTAGCAAACAGAGTATATGTTGAATTTCAGCCTCACTTGCCCCTCAGTTGGCTGCTTTTGTGCAGTGCACAGCCAGAGCAACAATACCTGGCGTACCTGGCTGGGCTCAGCTTTAGGAAGGGGAAGTTTCCTTTGGGGAGTCACATGAGGCCAGGATCAGAGTTTGGTTAGCATCTCCACCCTGGGGCAGGATGACTGCCAAGAAACCTGGCAGGGAGTGGATCTTGCAAGAGCTGAGGATGGAATAATTTGAGGATGTTCTGAACTGGGAGGTAGGGCACCTAGGTTCGAAATCTGGGAAGGCCCTGGGCTCTCTGGGACTCTGAACACTGCAGTGGCACTGGCCTTCATTTCCTCTCTGTATGCTATTGACCATGTTCTAGTCCTTCAAGATGTGGGTTTCAAAGACCTCAGAGTCTAGCTTGGGACCAGTTCTTAGGACTGAGACTAGGATGAGGGAAAACCAGAAGTGGGCAGACCTGTGCAAGTGGAATTCATGGGGCAACCGAGATGATCCTCACCTCTGCTCCTCTCCCTCCAGCAGGCGCCTGTAGGTGGCGATCTCAATGTCCAGGCCCAGCTTGGAGTTCATCACCTCCTGGTACTCCTTGAGCAGGCAGGCCATGTCCTGCTTGGCCTTCTGCAGAGCCTCCTCTAGCCCGGCCAGCTTGCAGCGGGCATCATTGAGGGCCACCTCGCCCTGCTGCTCCGCTTGGGTCACTGCAGCCTCCAGCTTGGAGTTCTAAGGGCCCAGGAGAGAACAAGGTGGGTTATGGCCTCTGGGTCTCTGTGTCCATTTCCTGGATGTGTCCAGTCTCTCCACCCAGATGAGATCACCCCAGGAACAGACCTTTCCCTTTTATCACCTAGGGTTCCCTGAGTGGCTATAACCAAGGACTCAAGTCATCCAAATGGGCTGGAGAGTGAATGGTGAGATCCAGTTGGGCACACACACTGCTGGTGGGATCCTGAGTGGGCCTCAAACACTCCCTACCTGGCACTTGGCATTCTCAACCTCAGCCGTCAGCCTCTGGATCACGCGGTTCAGCTCATTGATCTCCTCCTTGGTGCGGCGCAGGGTCTCCCCATGCCGGATCACTGTGGCCTTGATCTCCTCACACTGGAGGGAAGCAGAAAGGCTCATGAAGCTCAGCATGTGACATTCCACCCACTCAGGACAACATTGATGATTTGCAGGTTGTCCAGTGCTCAGCCTGTGTAACCATACATGGTGACTCTGTCCTGCCACTATAACCTGAGAACTGTTTGCCCTTCTGTTATCATCTTTAGGGATCAGAATCCCTGGAAAAAAAAAGGTTTTTCTAATTATATATCTCAAGTCCCTACCACTGCTGTTTCTAGGAGGCAGGTGTCCTGGACCACTCACCTTGCTGCGGTACCAGCTCTCAGCCTCGGCCCGGCTGCGGCTGGCGACATCATCATACTGGGCCTTGATCTCGGCGACAATGCAGTCCATGTTCAGGTCCCGGCTATTGTCCATTTTGACAATGACTGAGGTGTCCGAGATGTTGGCTTGGAGAACACGGATCTCCTGTGGATCGGGAGTCAGGAAAGAGGAAGTATAAGCAAGTTATCTGAGCTTTTCCTCACCAGCCAATGGCTGTAATCTCTTTGGTCCATCTGGAGCCAGAGTCCCATTTGGAGCAGACAATTCCCTGATGAAATTGCATCGCTTTCCCTACAGATAAGAAATCCCATTTAGAAAAAAGTGCAATTACTTCTCAAATGTTTGCTTTGGGGATTTTTCGGGCCCCTGTAAATCTTGTCCCTGCAGCTAGCATGCTGGGGACACTTCCTTGGGGTCCAGGCCCTTGTGTGGGGACCCATTTCTTGTTCTCATGGACCAGCCACAGGCTCCTGGCTGCCAGAGAAAATCTGAACTAGATAAAATGCGGTTAAGTTTTGTGCCTGGGCTTTGGTTTCCCAAGGCACAGCTGTCCTAGAGGTCATCACCCTTCTGTGCCCCTTACAGGGGCAGAATTACTATCCCGTTTTGCTTCTCCATTCCTCTGCCTAACCCTTCAATCTCAGCCTGTATTCCTGCATCAGCTGGCCAGTGAGGGGGGCTGGACAGGGGCTCAGGGATGCCCACCAGGACCGAGAACCCTCTCACCTCCTCATANATTACTATCCCGTTTTGCTTCTCCATTCCTCTGCCTAACCTTTCAATCTCAGCCTGTATTCCTGCATCAGCTGGCCAGTGAGGGGGGCTGGACAGGGGCTCAGGGATGCCCACCAGGACCGAGAACCCTCTCACCTCCTCATATAACCGCCGCAGGAAATCGATCTCCTGGATCAGGGCCTCTGAGTTGGCCTCCAGGTCCGACTTGCGAACGTAGGCACAGTCCACATCCTGTGTGGGGTTCAAGGGGTTGTGAGATTCAAGGGCGCTCTGCGGGTTTGGCTGCATCGTGGCAGGACAGAAGAGGACAGGGTGGCCAGGGGCTGAGGGAGGGGCTTGGCTCAGGCACTTACCTTCTTTAGAGCCACAAACTCGTTCTCTGCTGTGGCCCGAAGAGTGCCTGCTCTGGAAACTAGATTCCTTTAGAGAATCCAGTGTGTGCCTTTGTATTCTGTGTCACTCTTTGTCATCGGAGGTCTCTGTCTGTGACTCTGCCATCTCTGCCTACCAGAGGACTGTAAGCCCCACAAAAACATGAGCTGGGTCTAGCATTCGGCCCTGGATTGCTAGCACCCTGTCCAGATCTGCCTGGTGCCTGGTAGGTGCTCAAAAAGTGTTAGCAGAATGAAGGAGTGAACCTTCAGAAGAAGGTCCAGGACTTTGAAAGCTAGACTCAAAGGCATCAGTAATGTTAGTTTGTCTGGGGTCCTAAGAGAAGGATCTATGGGTAGAAGAAAGGGAGAGAACATCATTTCCCTGACCTGCTGGTAGGAAGTCAAGCTGAGCTCCGTCCCCTGGGGGCCAGGACCCACCCACGGAACCCATGTGCCTCGAGGAGGGGCAGAGGGCACGGGCTCTTCCTGATCCTCAGGCAGAGACCCAGCCACAGGTCTGGACGCTCCCCTGAGCTGGGAGCCACCTTCAAGCCCTTCTCAGAGCCGGCCCCTTCCCACACTCACTTCTTCTTGTAGCCCTCCAGCACCTCCTGCACGTGGTTGAGCTCTGAGGACAGCCTCCCGCTGTCGGCTTCCACGCACTCGGCCTCCCGCCTCAGCGTCTCGATGTAGCCCTCGAACAGGGGCTCGAGGTTGCTCTCACAGCACTGGCGGTTCTGGAAGAACTGCAGCTTGGTCTCCAGTAGTTTGTTCTGCTGCTCCAGGAAGCGCACCTGCCACACAGAGGCAGAGCCTGAGAACCTCTTCTTGTAGGACCAGAGCGTGAGAGAGGGGAGGGCCCCAGCACCGAGACCCAGGATCCCAAACTCTCTGACCCTCTGAGTCCTCAGAAGCATTATGTCCCCTCTCTTAAAACCATGTTAGGGCTTCAGTGACTCTCCTGGAAGTCCTTCCTTGGAGCTAATGTCAGTCTCTTCTAAGGCAGTGTATCTATTGTCAAGGAAAGCACTAAGCCATGCAGAGTCCAGACCCTGGTGCTCTTGTTCATGTGTCCTTGGGCCCAGCACTTAACCCTTGTCCTGAGTGCCTGCTTTGCTGACTTTAATGCCCTGGGGCAGAAATCACCCAAATGCAGAATGTCTACTGTTCCAAGACAGTTGTGACTGTCAGCGTGCAAATGAACAGGTCAACCTTTTTAGAAAGACCAACTGTAAAAGCTAACAAATAAAGTATGTGCCGATAATCAAAATCCTACGACAACAATGCAATTAGAATAATAGTCACCTGGACTATTAGTGCAGGGATGTGGTGTGTGCCAACCCCCTTGTTTTACAGATGAGGAAGGTTTGTAGAATTGAGAGGTTCCCTAACTGCCTGAGATCTCATAGTGGTAGAAGAATTCAAACTTTGATCTTCTGCCCTGGGAGGTCGGGGGAACGGGCTTCTCTTACTACAATATTGCTGACAATTGTGCCCAGGAAAAATTTCATATCCATTCTTATTCCATGAGTTTGGCCCACCACCCCATTCAGATCCTTTTGTGTAGTAATTTTGCCACATCCCTGGTAAGTCCTTTCTTGTGCTACTCTTGGTCTCTCATGCTGTTAAGAGCTGCAGATCCTTTTGGCCCTTCCTGATGGGTATCTCTGTAGCATGAATTCTTGCAAGTTTGGCTCTGGATAACCTTCCCTGGCCCCAGAACTTTTTCCTCAATGAAGCCTTCTCCCATGGCTCCTCGAACCACTGCCTCATGGCAGTTGCCTGGATTCAGTGGTAAAGACTTGAGCTGGACACTAACATCTGCAGATGGTTTCAACCAGACCACATACTACCTTCCTCTCCACAAGGGCCAGGAGAGTGGGGACCATGTCTGTTGCTCACCCCTGGATCCCAGGCACAGAGGCATGGACAAACCACTCGGCCCCTGCTCAGTGGCCAAGTAACCACTGTCATATAAAGGGCTCTGTGTGAACCAGGAGATTCCCTCTGGGCAGTCTTCCAGGATTGCACTCACCAGCCCTACTTGGACATGGGGAGTACCTCCTTGCCAAATAAGCAGCTGCTGGTCCTTGAATGCATCGAACACCCACACAGGAGCCCTTTGCTCACAAGATGTTGTCTCTCAGCACTAGAGTTTCTGCCCTTAGTTCTGTTCCTGTGTTTTCAGCTTGTCTCCCCCAGTAGACTAGGCAGCTTCTGAGCCTATTCTTGTCTTTCTGTCTGTGTTCAAGAGGTATGACTTCCTCTCCTTTTGGGCTGAGGGTTTCTGTGGGCTTGTCTCTGACTCCTTCCTTAGTGCCCAGCTGGGGTCCTGAGCATGGGTGGGATTCAGGAAAGGCATGATCAAGGAGACTCACCTTGTCAATGAAGGCAGCGAACCTGTTGTTGAGACACTTGATCTGCTCCTTCTCCTCCTGCTTCACACACTGTGCATTGGGGTCAATCTCCAGGTTGAGGGGTGTGAGGAGGCTCTCGTTCACTGACACGGTGGTGATGCAGGGAGGGCTGGGTCCGCACACGCCACCAGAGCGGTACCCGAAGCTGCGGCCGAAGGAGCCAGTACGGAAGCCCCCGCAGACACTGCGGCTGCCAAAGCCCCCAGTGAGGCCACGGTAGCAGGAGATGCCGCGGTAGGGGGCGGCCGTGATGCAGCAGCGGCCAGGCCGAGGTCCACAGGCAGAGACGCAGCTGAAGGCGCGACCGCCGAATCCAGAGCCCACAGTGCTGAAGCCACAGGTCATGTTGGAGACAGGGAGGTGTCTGAACAGTGGAGAAGCTGGCAGAGGACGGAGCCAAAGGCTTGTGCTCCCTGAGCTGTGGCAGGCCCTTTTATGCACCAGGGCAGCTGGCAGTAAAAGGGGCAGCAAAGAGAAAATAGCTGCATTTTATTAGCTTGGCATCACCCCGGCCTCTTAAGAGCCAACTGTTTGCCTATTCAGTAGAGCTGTGTCAACAATCTCGGCCTCAGGCCTGTTTCATCTTCAAAGCCATTTATGAGCTTCTTCATGGCCTCTCCCCCTCCCATTGCTACTGGAAGTGGAGACCTCCTAGAAGTATCTAGTTGGACTCCATGCTCCGAGTGCAGGCAAT